AATTTATCTAACAAATTAAATAATGTTTTATAAAAATAGTCAACCATATGATCAACCGAAGAAAAACTAGCTAATCTCGACCAATCAACATTTAGCAAACTGCCGTAGAGGAAAAATTTTTATAATTGTCAGCAGATAAGGTACAGTCAATTGATAAAACCGATAGAATTGAAATTTTGTGCATTCTTTAAAGTTATCGTGAATATGGTAAATCACTAATCAAAATTCATGTACTTGTCCCTTCCACAAACTTGATGACGTCACCTCAGAATTTTGTGAAGAAATCTTGTTTGAAATTTAGGCGTATCATGTTCCTTTAGTAATCCTTGAGTGGTGTAGTGATATTTACGATAAGTGTTTCGGTTATCGTAAAAAAAATAATTTTTACTGGTAAATTTTACATCTTGGATTTGAATCTAAAAAACAAGTTTATGGCAGTTTTAGCAAGAGGGGCACACTAATATTATGATTACAGAACACTGATTAGAATGCATTTTAATTCGTCCTTTCTGACAATTTAATGACGGAATCGCATAAAATTTTGCATATATCTTTGTCAAAATAACGTACTTAGAAATGATCTGTAGAAATATATGTAAATCATTTAATTTTATTGATTACGTAAATCTTATCTTATTTTCCCAAAATTCTAGGCACACAGCAATATTTTTCTGTGGACTTGTTTCAGTGTTTTTCATATGCAAGAGAGGGTTTAGGTGCACGAGTTGATCACTTTTTTTTATTATTATCGTGGTTAGCCGTTTAAAAATTGTTGTGGAAAAAGCTTTAGTTGTTACATTATTTTACTGTTTATTATACAAATTGTAGATGAAACAACAGTCTTTGAAAACAAAGAATTTTTATAAAGATGTTTAATAAGAAAAGTATGCGGATTGTGCCTATAACAGTTATTTTCTTATTCATAGGATAAAAATAGGGGTGAAATGTTTTTCTGCATTTTTCAAATATAAAAGATTGTTTATTTACCACAATTTGTAGGAAATAATATGACCTTGAGAAATACCATTTCTGCTACTACCTTACTTCATCGGAATTTTAGTAATCGCCGCAGATTTTGATATTTATAGGTCCAGATAATTATATTTTGTGCACTTTTGAAAATTCGGCTGAGACTTTATGGTCTGTGCTGCCGTTTGACGTTTTTTTCGTGTATCATAATGTAACTATGCCTACGCCTTCATTTTAGAAACCAGTTTGTTTTAGTATGATTAGGGATAGCTGTCTTTGTTTAATCAGACTCCGATAATTAAAAACGAAACGGGAACGACGAGATAATTCCGTTAGGAAATTGAGAAGAGACGTGGCGAGTCAGCTGATTCGTTCAAATATTGAACTTATTTTAATAACGTCAAGGATGGATCGGTGGATTCTTTCGCAAATCGTATGTCACAGTCGTAGGCATGCAGATCGGAATTTTTTGCATATTTTATAGTAGCATTGATTTATTTGCCAAGACCTTGTCGGCAACCGTCGAGTACAGTTTTATGGTTACGTAAAAATAAACTAGAGCTAATAGATTTAAAATGGGTTTTTTCGATTTCTGCATTCTGTTCTACGGTTTAAATATTCGAACAGAGATGAGGCAAGGGACAGTGATGCAATTTCTATTTGCATGTGTTAAAATTTACTACACCGAATGAATGAATTCGTAACATTCTTACATTAATATGCAAAGAGCATGATTTACATTAAGAACATGTGTTTGAGAGCACTCCAAATTCCACTAAAATAAAATTCGTTAGCTAGTCGAAAGGGAAACGAAAACATTTTGCAACGATTCGGTTAACAGGTAATTAAAAATGATATAACGCTAAAATTTATGCAAATCGGTTGTGGTTCATTGCCACCAAATCATTTTATTATTGTGACGATAAAGTGATTTATTGTTCGGATTTTTAAAATAACCCAACAACAAAAGAAGGTGTGCAATTTTTAATAGGCGGAGATGAAATGTGACGGGGGCATAACAATGGAAGAACTGTGAAGTAATTGCGAAATTTTCAAGTAATTTGTGTATTAAATTGACCGGCGATATTTAAATTGCGTTCGATGTGTATGCAACCAACTATACACACGTGAATGTAAACCACGTCGTCTAAATTTTATCTTGATTGAAATCTAAAAAGGACATAAACTGAAAACTTGATTTCTTTTTTATCGTGCTTTTATTAAATATAGTAATTTTAGTCTTTTGTTGGTTTAATCAGGTGAATGTCTTGCCGGTGCGTTCTATTTATAGATGTACATAAGGTTAATGAAAAAGCTTCGTGAATAGAGTACTTTGTTTACTTTGTTTGAATATGGATTGGCCGCATTGTTCTTTGGGTAGTTGTTTTTAATTTAGTTACGTTTTGACCAAGTTTGTAATGGAAAGAGCATCCAGTGTGTAAGCGACCGGTTTATAGAATTTTAAAGACTCATTTTTTCACTTTGTGGAATCTGATTTTATTTTCACGAGTGAAAATTTTCATCATCTAGAAGCTTTGAAAGTGTTTTTTCGGCACTAAATTCTGTTATTTCGGAAGTAGTTTTATTTACTTTTAACCAATTTTATTATTTCAATTTGATAGAATTGTAATTGTAATTTTAAGCAAAACTTGATAAATGTATTCCTTGGGCAAGAAATTACGGAAGACTCAAGATATTTTACATACAATATTTTTTCCATATTTCATATTCAAATGTAAAAAAAAACAATCACAAATATTAGAAAATCCATAAAGTTGAGAAAATAAATTGTTCATAATTTGTTTTACTAACCTCAGAGCTATATAGAAAAATGCGTTCAGTACTAGATGTATTCTAAACAACAAAAAACCGTTTTAAGGCAGGCATTGTGAACAATTTATTGAACTAAAAATTTGCCTATCTTTAATAGAGAATACCTATACCTATATGTATATTGTCGCTGTTAAATTTTACAATATATCTTAAATTTTGGAAAGCTTAGTTGGCATACCAAATTGGAAAAATAACGGTGAAAACAACATACGTCACTATTAATGTACACGTTACTGTAAATTTGCTACTTGATGTAGATTTAACGTATATCAAATTTCATTGTTCACGTAGTACTAATTTCCAAGAATATAATGTGTAACGCACTTTTTAGAATTTTATGGATAAGCTAAAGTGGAATTTAAAGATAACACAGAATTCTATCAATTTGTGTATAAGATTTCATTGTTTGGTAGATATTCGTACTTTTGGTTTTTTACGAAATGTGATATTTTTTAACGTTCATTATGTTTAGAAGAGTAACTTTTAGAATAATCAAGTTCCGCATAAAATTAGGAAACACGCGTGCCATGTTTTGCAAATTTTATTCATCATTTCGTTTCATTTTAGGAACAAGAAATTTTAAACATAGGATAATATAAGTCAATTAAAAAAAAGTGTGCATTTGTTAGAATGGTGATCATAAGATGTTTGTAAACTTTATATGACCTCGTTAAAAAATACATGGAAGCAATATAGATTTTTATATTAAACCAAAACCGTTCTTGATATATTTTTGAGACCTCCGTTAACCGTGTGATTCTTGTTAGTGTTACATAAAAACATTTTTGAAATTCTAAAGAACTAAAATTAATTTTTGTGTAGTCGTATTAGCTCTACATTGTAAAACAGTCTGAGCAAAATTAACATTTTAAAAATTATCCCATTTTCTCGAATATTTCCGTGAAGAGTAGAAGTTCTTAAAAAAAACAATTGCTAAATACAGTGTAATTTAATTCTCATTATATGACATTTTAAAGATGCAGGGCTTTATTCGATAATATGTTCTTTTTTTGTTTAAATTTGAGGGTATTTTAAACATCGTTCTATAACAACAGTTTATTCTAGATGTTGTATGTTATTACAACGCTGAACTGTTTACAAAGTGACGACAAATATTATACCACTATTACAAAATAATGTGCTTATTTAAAATTAGCGAAACAAAATTTTGATTTAAATCCACAACCAGAAATGCGTTTAATGCAATCGCTATTATTAACTAGTTATTATGATGGAAATTTTCGTGTTGTGCTTTTGAAATAGCAAATTAGATTTTAAATGAAACTAAAACTGCAACGTTTCCTACAATTTTCTGCATTTATGTATTTAATTATTTATAGTTCAGACTTATTTCCAATCTATCTATAATTCACAGACCAACAGGAATACAGCATTTTATATACATGGAGAAAAGTGGTAACAAATTGGCACGTGCAGCTTTTATATTTAAAACCCGAAGATTTATCACAAAGTCTGGGGGAATCTAAATGGTGGAAAGGTTTCCAAAGAGCACGAAAGGAAATATCGTATAGGGGCGTTTTTAAACGTGGTATCTGTAATGTATAGTTAATTTGCCCTTTTTTCTATTTCCCTGAGTCCAGAATAATGTACAATTTTTAAAAACAATATTGGAGAATTTTATGTTCTCACTGCATGTATTGTGTTATTTTGGTACTCTATAAATAAGATGAAATCATGCACGAATTATTAAATATTGTGAAGAGCAATTATATTAGGTCCCACAAATTGAGAGTTGACAGCTCCGGAATCTACAGTTGTTGTAGAAAGAACGATATTTTTACTGAGAACTGAAAAAATATTACTTACAGCAAAACATGAAGATATCTTTTCTGGGAAATTCATAAAAATTTCTCTCGTCCTTAATATGTACCTACCCGTATGAATAATCAAAATTTCACAGTTTCCTTTTACATTGAGTCTTATTTTATTATTAATATTTACATTTACATTTCTGAACTGGATTTACTAAATTTCTAAACCCCATTATAATCCACTGAATCCCACTGCGAGTCTTTAATCGAACCTGTGTCCCGCGCTTCGCTCTCTTGCATTAATACACCAACTACTAAGACTAGATTATTGTTACACTGGGCCTTACGTACCACTTTCTGAGTGAGACGTCCTCATTTATTAATTTTAATAATATTTTAGTTTTACCGATTGATTTTTCCTTTCAGGTTCGTGTATGAGACTGAACATTTTAACGGGGTAGGTGAACTGTTGGAGATCTTGGGGTCGATCATAAACGGGTTTGCGTTACCTTTGAAAGCCGAACATAAACAGTTCCTGGTGAAGGTGCTCATTCCTTTGCACAAGGTCAAGTGCCTGTCGCTGTACCATGCGCAGCTTGCCTACTGCGTGGTCCAGTTTCTGGAAAAGGATCCGACGCTTACGGAACCCGTCGTTAGAGGTCTCCTCAAGTACTGGCCAAAAACGTGTAGTCAAAAAGAAGTAATGTTCCTCGGCGAAATCGAGGAAGTGCTGGATGTTATCGAACCATCACAGTTTACACGAATCCAGGAGCCACTGTTTAGGCAAATAGCGAGATGTGTTTCCAGTCCACACTTTCAGGTAATAATAACGAGAAATATAATTGGTTGAGGGTAATTACGCGAGAAAAATGTTCATTTGGAACCTAAATGGCTTTTGTTTTGTGTTCAGTAGTGTGTTTTATTTAGATTTTGTTGCCAGAACGACTGGTTGTGGCTACGTTCTGGATTGTTTTTGATTTTGTAGACAAAATTGAAGTTGTTGTAGCTTTAAATTTTAACTTTTGGACAAGGTAAAGTCTTTATTTTGACAGAAATTTAAAATCAACTCAGTTACATTACAGTATTTTTATGAGGTTATTGCTATACCATACAAGACACACTTACAGTTGTCATTAACACAGAAAAAAATGTGAGTAAGTGTAGTTTATTGTTTTTCCTTGCAAAAGCATATTACGTGTATAAAGGAAATCACACGAGGGGTTAGGAAAAATGTTAAAAATACATAATTATGAGTATCGTTTTGGTAAAAAAAAAAGTGAACACGACGTTTCAACTTAAACATTTAACATTTGAATCAGTTTAACGTATTCAAAGTCCAGTGCGCATGTCCATGTTGGAAGAAGACGACTTTTACCTCATGCAAGGACCAATTATGGCAGCAAGCCATATTCTTTCTGTTCCATTTCACACACAAGAATATTTTAGTAAATTGTTTGTTAATACTTGGTGAAACAACAATGTAATATTTGATAAAAGGGAAATCAGCTATCATTCTTGATTACAAACCTTCCAGCAAGATATAGTCTTAGTGTCGAGTTGGATAAATGTACTACATATTATTTTTCAAGGTGTGGTGAATTCCCTCTACGCACAAATGTCAGAGGAACCTAACTAATGTATCAGACAAAGTAAGAATGAGAGCAATACCTTCTACCAAAAATTTACCAAAATATTTATGCACAAAATAAGACAGACTTATGCCATATTTTACGTTTTTGGAATAGGTTCTTAGAACAAAAAATAAATACAAAAATATCCGTTACTTCAAGTTTTATTATTGAAAATGAAAGTATTGAGTCATATTTTATAAAATTAAATGTATGTAACATGAGAGCTTTATAAAGACTGTGCAGCTCTTTTATGTTTGTTGATACTGGAAAATGTACAAATTGTCAGTTTTAATGAAGGACTAAACACATTCTAACTTCATTGTACGAGTATGTACATACGTTTTAGTAGAATTGAATTTGTGAAATTACTGAAAATGTTTTGCCCACAGTAAAATTAATTTTATAGAAAATAACTGATTCAGAATCGCAATTTTTGCTGAGGATTCATTAGAATTCTGTAGTAATTTACAAAAAGTGTTTAAAATTTACGAAAATTCCTTGTTATTTAGTACAGAAACGGAAATACTATAAAAAGAACGGATTTAGTAAAAACCTAACACTAGAGGCATTAACCAATAGCCTGTCAATTGCATTCTGATATGGATTCCAAAAAGTGAATTAGTATAATTAGTACTAACCCCTCTATACAAAAAATGAAAAACTGTAGTTCTGAAAAAATCGATTTGAATTAAATACGAAAATCACTCAATAACAACGAAAATCTGTAACGAAACACTGATGAAGGAATTAATAGGCTATCTACGAAAATAGTGGTTTTATGATTTTGACTTTTACAAACCCCTCGTTTGCGACTAAAGAGCATGTTAAACCGTTTAACAGACAAGCCAATCGTGTTTAAAAGAAGCATGTGGGTCAAACACAATAAAGAGGGGCTCTGTAAGTTTGGAGTGATGTAAACCTTTACATGTAATAAGCTGGATTATTCGTTGAAAAGAATGACATAGAAGTCAAAGTTGTAAAAGCACTATTTTGACGGATGGCCTATACAAAATAATAACGAACGACTGTGACGGAACGAGTGCAGTTTCCTACCTCTAAATTTGGAAATAGACCCGTTCGAATGTTTTTCCGTCATTGCGACGTTTTATTGGTGTATTCTAGTCATACTATGTCCACCTAAGCTTCAAATTTTCGTTTTGTTTTTTTTTTTAATCATTTTTTACTATGAAAAAATTAAATTTGTATAATTAAATTTTACAATTTATCATAAAAGCTGCAACCGTATCTCCTTGAAAGACACTAAATAACTCAATGACTACTAAGTAACTAAAGTTCATTTATTAATATGATTCTCAGAAAAATATTACAACATAACATTAATAAATCATTTCCCAAAAATTTGTCAAAAATCATCATGTGAAATAGGTTGCTTTGAAATGAGGTCAAGTAAATCTTTCAAGAACTTTAAAGCAGGCGTTAAAAATTAACAAGAGAGAAAGGTAGGCACCGAATCGTGGTAAATTTTGGCTATTTAATGTAAGCGCTTTAAAGGAACTCAAAGAAAAACTTCTTAACAACTATTGTCCTTAAGAATAATGTATTTGTCGTTTGCAGCCACCGTCTAAAGGAATTTAAAGCACTAACCTACGAATTCTCATTTTCCTCGTAGAGAAAACCTCGTTCTCTGCTCGAGTGTCAATTTTGACGATTTGTTTGCGTTTCAGGTGGCAGAGCGGGCTCTGTATTTCTGGAACAACGAGTACATAATGTCACTGATGGAAGAAAACAATCATGTTATAATGCCAATAATGTTCCCTGCATTATATCGTATTTCCAAAGAACATTGGAACCAGACCATAGTCGCGCTCGTCTACAACGTGCTCAAGACTTTCATGGAGATGAATTCCAAGTTATTCGATGAACTCACGGTTAGTTATAAGGCGGAGCGGCAGAAGTGAGTCGAGACGGTACGTTTTTGTTGCTCGTCTTATATCGTCGATATATTTCAGAGAGAAGAAGCGCGAAAAAGAGAGAGACGAATTATGGAAAAAATTAGCAGAACTTGAACTTAATCACAACAAAAATGTACCCGCACAAAATAATAGCCCTCCCAGCAAAAAGTGATACAACAGCCTAACGTTCCCCGCCCATTCATAGCTGTATGTTGGTAAGTTAGTTGAGAGTTCGGCCATTGGAGCATGCTTCGAACACCAAAATGTCAGTTTTTGAAACTCACCGTTGTCACATAACGACTATAGAATTAAATTTTCGTCTGTAACATTTTTATTAATAGAACTAGTCTGTTTCTGTGAATTATATTTTTCTTTTTAATTGTAATTTTATTGTATTAAGAGACTCGATTGTTTGCTTGTTTACCTTCTCGTCAGTCGTTAATTCAGTGGTCGTAAATCGTACAAGATATGCCAAAATAGATGCATAGTTTCAAGGACTGATTAATTTTCGTAGATACGTTTACTTCCACTGAACAATATACTCAATTATGTTATTTAATGATGTAATCGGAAACTGTGGATCATTGACGATTTTAATTGTTTTTGGTGTAGTGGCATATTTCAATGTGAAAGGTGCCGACGCATAAGGAAAGAAGAGTGTTGCATCATAAAGTTGGAGTGTACATTTTAAATTATTGTGAATGTCTACTACTAACAGTCTATCTATGGTGTTTTGTAGCTGTGAACAGCAGAACTATGTTAATAATGTGCTATAGTATAACTGGTCAACTGTAAATAGCTAAGCAAATGTGGTTATGGTTTGTGTTTGGACTGTGGTTGGTTGTTTCGGTGGTTTACACTTTTACTCCTACTTGTTTATATACTTTAAGGATACTTTTATGATTTTTTTAATAAACTGTAACTTTTTATTTTCTATTTTGTTTTTTGTTGTGAACTTTCGTTTGCGAAATAGGTGCCAAAGTTATTTCCAAACCAAAAATCGTTAAATTAAATTTCCCGTAAGCGCTTCAAAGTGCACCCTCCGCTTTCGATGTTCAAACAATAACCCAAATAACTTTGGACTTATTCATAAGTAAATGTGCTTCTTAAAGTTGTAAAAGGACCTAAAGAGTACAATAGTATGTTAAAATTGACAGGCCTTTATAACTATAGAAACTTTTTTATGTCTGTCAACTGACACGTTTTTACATTGACTTTTAAGATCCTGGTGTACCATCCAGTGTACAAAAATCGACCAAACTTTTCACTAGTACATGTGATTGTGATCTATCCTAGCGGTTGTAGGATTTTCCAGTGATTATGCTCCATACGATTAATTTTAGGTTAAAAGCGAAGTGTTTGACTCTCAGTGAGTTGTTAAATTGTTAAGTTTGATAATAGAACTGAGATGTTTAAAATTGTGTGACGCGTGTTAGTCCCAATCTATCTTCAAACACAATTTTAACCACAGTTATTTTGTATGTGCTAAATTGCACGAGTTGTGTGCCAGGGCGAGTGAATGACGATGTAATATTAATGTACAGATGGCTGTATAACTTGTAGCATACTTTGTAAGCTAATATAAATTATCTAATTACTTAGATTAAGTATAGTCGTTACTCATCTTAAGTAGACTCTTTTTATATTAATTTCACGGATTGTTGTATAGTGCAATTATTTTTTAACAAATTCACGTTGTTTTCCCTTTGTTTTATTTTTACTATTTATTGTTTTGGAAGTATTGCGAATAAGAGAAGCATAAGCAGGATATTGGAGAGGTCTGACGCAGCAGCTTGACGGCGCCAACACTTGCGACTTTCTTATTTTAAGCAGCTACAATAGGTGACATAGGCATTGTATGTTGACTTTACAAATTATACAGCCAAGATTTTCTATAACATGGTGCCACTTCACAAGAAACTTTTTTAGAAGCACTGTTATGTTCACTTAGAGAAAGCTTTATATAAGGAACTATAGCAAGTTGTGTTTTAGATAGAAAATTAAGAACGTACGTTCTAATTAAGTTGTGCATGACGAGCTCAATTTCTAGTTACAACCTGGAAATGTTATATTCGTAGAGCTATTCATCCCGACAATGTTTTATGTCGTTATATTATCGACGGGACATTGATATTTTTTTCTAGTGAGTTTATATGTACTTGAGGGTTATCCCAGACCTCGAACTTTCGTTGTAACGTCATTAGCTATTTTATATTGTAGACATACATGTAAGTTGATTTTGTGATGCAAAGTGTGATAAAATAAATTCCAAGTTGTGTGACACTGTTGAGTAGCTCTATGAATACTTATGCATAAACTTCGCTGCTGTATGAAGAATTAGGGCCACACTATTAAGCCCTTCCCTCATTAGAATAAAGTATGTAATATATAACTAAATCACTATAAATCTTGTAGATATATGAGAAATATATTGTTAAATTTCGATTGTTTTTCTCAAAAAAACGTTAATCTAAGTTTCTAGATTCTTAAGCATGGTTTTGGGTTTGGAGTTCTTCATTGAGAAAGAGGAACAGCGCATGAATGCTCTAAATCGAAAACCGTCATCTAACACTTCTGTTATTTTTCTTATTAATAATTTTGTGAGTGTAAAGCAAAGAACATTTATAAACCTTTCATAATAATTTCTATATGAGCTACTTATTGACCTCGTTTATTGAGGATTATAGTAACTGCAGTTTGTGAATGTACGCACTGTTGTGCGTAAATAAATATTGTCATTTTGAAAATCTTTTCTCTTTCAAAAAAAAACCTTTTAGTATAGGTTATCAAAAATACTCAAAGACAGGTAAGGCACTTTAATCACTTCACGACACAGTTAGTAGTGGACTTCAAACCAACTTAATACTTTCTGGTATGTAACAAATATGGCTGCGTTTACGGGAAATGTCCTCATGAGTGTTGCAGGCGCTCCTCTAAAAAATATCGAGAAACCGTCCATTTTGTAGGACTTTTTGAAACAATCGATAATGCCGTTGTAGTAGGGGTGCCGGGGATCGTCAGATTGAATTCGCGTTTTTACCACATCCACTGGCATTACAAACAACCACGAGGCTATCCCTAAAAAAGAAACATTAGTACTATTAACAAACCCGATCAAAAACATTCCAAGATGGTTAACAAGTGACGCCACGTGGTGACTAAATTCGGGCATAGTATAATGACCTGAAACAAACACTGCACAGAATATATGTTTAAATAATTATTATTTATGGTCTTAAGCTAGAGCACAAAGAGAGCTTGCGTGTGTTTACCTTCCAAAGCATTTTACAGTGGATAGTTGAGTAACAATTAAGTCATGGTCGTATTAAAGCTTTCGGCGAATTGTACAGAAAAAATCTGTCTTTGGTTAAACCACCTGACGATAGCAAGAAGTTTAAATTCAAGTGTAAAAAATCTCAAATGTCTCCGGTCCGTAAAATTAAATAGAAATAAGCGAATAGATTCGAAAGTGTCTAGAGATTTGTGTCTTATGGTAATTTTAAAATATTTTGGACCGTGTTAAAACAACCCAACTTTAAAGTAGTGTAGCCTTAACCTTGTGATGATGGCCTTAATTTGTCCAATATATTTTTGATTACAGCCTTTGAAGTTGGACGCGTTTTTTTGCGTGTTAACTCTTCTTCCATATGGAGTTTTTTTTTAAGTGGACGACAAACTTCAAACAATTCTTTTGTGACATACATGTACTGGTTTCAGAATAATTTCGAGAAAACTGAAATTTGCAGGTTTTTGGAGTTATTCCAAGTAATTATTTCCTACGAAATATGTTAAAAACAGTAATGATTCAACGTAAACTTTTCAACTTGGTTTAATTTAGCTTGTAAATGTTGAAAAGTTTACGTTGAATCTTTAAAATAAAATATTAATAAAATGAACTATACAGAGTGATTTTTTAACCTGAAACTTTCAAATATCTGGAAAAATAAGCACTGTACAAAAACATTTCCAGATTCAAACTTTAATCATTCCATAGGGGAAATACTTTGGTGTAAAGAACTAGTCTCCCACCCCCCTCTTTAAAAGGGGGGCGGGGGGATAACTTTGAAATCTTAAATAGGAACCCTGAATTTTTATTACAGATTCGGATTCTACGTATGTTGGGTTTGTCTAAAACATTTTTTTTTATATTCATGGCAGATGACGCTGTAATAAAAGAAATTTAATTTTTTCGATTTCTCCGAGGGGTAAACCGCAGAGGAAATCAATTGTACACGCTAGAGGAAATCAAAAAGGAAATCAGAGGAAATCAACGAGAAATCAAGAAGAAATCAATGAGAAATTAACGGAAAATCAACAAGAAAACGCGACTTCTCAAAGCGATGCGTTTAAATTACCTATTCATCCGACAAAAATCATTTGAATAACTGGGAATGGTACCAAATGGGTTTCAGTGACAGCGATCTGACATCGTATGTCCAAGACACTGTACATATTATCACAAAGTTAAGAACAAAGTTTTTAAAATCAGACTCAATATTACCTCTAGGGAATTACGTTGCTACAGTTGCTCACCTTGAAATATTAGTAAAAAATTACTAACCAAAGATCAACCTATGCTAACAATAACGGATTTGAAAGCAGACAAAATGAACTATCAAAAAAGTAATCTTACTGATGCCTTGGAAGTTTAGCTCTCAAACTTGTGAGAGTATGTTTAGAAGCCTTAGATCAATGACCTCAACTTTTAGCACAATTGTTAATTTTAGTATAAGAAATATGTTGTATCGAAGTGACAGACTGCAAACTATAAACAACATTAAAAACGATTTGGATCAAAAATTCGTTTTTCCTAGAGAAATCAGGAAAAAAGTTCAATCATGAAGAGAGATTTTGTGAAAAATTATGACTTTGGAAACATTTCAGATAAAGATATACAAAGCACCGTAGAATCAGCTTTACGGGATTGTCTGCGTGACACTGAAGATTTAGGAATGAAAGTGATGGATTTCAACTATGTATTTTTGCTCCGTGTAAAGACAATGAATGCAATGACGAAGTTGAAGATGAAATGTTTAGTGAAGAACAGTGCGATCACATTGAAAATTACAACAATTCTCAAATAGCCATGAAACGTAACTGATTTCAAAGTTTGGAAAACGATCCAGTTGACCAAGATGAAGATTTACTGAATGATCTTTGCACAATTTCGTACGAATCTAAGAAATTTGACAGAGACATACACCTTAGAAGTTTTGATAGTGACGATAATTTTGTTGAGAAAGGTGATTTAGTCAGAATACGCTTAGATATACAACAAAAGTTATAAAAAAGTCTTCACTTTGCTGGCTGTTAGACAATGAAAAGGATCGCGTCAGTGTGGATCGTCTCAAACATAAAGATGCATCTCAAATTCAAAAACCAGTCCAAATTGGAAAACAAAAAAGACGCTATAATATATCAAGTGACTCATCTGATTTGGACAACCCAAGTAGTATCGAATATGATGACAGCACGGACACCGAAAGTTTGAATTTTTCCAATTATTCTGATGATTTGAATCCTCGTTTGAATCTCAAGGCTGAAAATAGTAAGAGTGATCGTTCTAAACCAGACTTAAATATAGACGATTATATTATAGTACAATTAACAACTCAAAAACAAAACAAAAAATGTTACATTGGTAAAGTGTTAACACTTAACCCTATTTTTTGTGATTTTTTGAAAAGGAATATCCAAAAATTCCGGATGCTTTTATGTTTCTGGACATCAAAAATCAGGGAGAGATCCAAGAAAATGAATATATAATGAAACTACCTCCACCTCAGGTACTCAGTAAAGACAGTATAGTTTTTGAAAACAAATTATTGAAAAAATATTTGATTTATGGGTTTATGGAGTAAGTATTTTTTAAGAAGTTGTTTTATTTTGTGATATTTTGTTATGATCCAACAGAAATGCTTTACTTTTATGTTTAGAGTTACCGTTTTTTTTTAACATTTAATAAAATAAATGAAACTACTTGTTTTTTCTGTTTATGCTACCATAATAAATGAGTAAACCCAATTTTTAAAAAGTAATGACTTAAGTTATTATTATAAGTTTGATTTAATAGGTCAAACTTTAACATGATCTTGTATGCACAACACAGAGATGAACCTAATAGAATGATTTTGGACTATTTGGTATTCATTAATTACCTCTGTGAACGTATGAGCCAGTCGTTGTTGCCTTATGATGAGTCACTGATAAGTAAAAACTGCTGACGTAACTAAAAATATCCTTGGCTTTATGTAGTTTTAATTTCGTAAATTCAAAGGCAAAATTTCATAATATAATTTGTTGAAAAATTAATAATAATATATAATATAATTTATTTAATCTTTGAGTGATTTAAACAAACTAATTTGTACACACCAGACATTTTTAATTTCAAAATTAAAATAGACCATAAGGTTTTCTGACTGAATGTGCAAAAAATCTAGAATATTGCATATGTCCACTTTTAGAACAAACATTTGACCCAAGAAAGTGTAAAATTCGAACGTATACTTACTCTATTGATTTAGACATCTAAAACCTCGATTTTAGAGTAGCGTTCTTTTTGTAAGTAAAATCAGATTTGTTTTCTTAAACATTTCAGTTTGTTGCTTAGCAGCACAATACATTTTATTTATTTATTTATTTTTTTTTCGTCTAAAGGGAAAGCACTTCAGCTTACCTAGTCATCGTACGTTAGTAAACACTTGGTAAAAAAAGGTTTAAATTCAACATCATTATCGGGAAAACAAAAAAGTCAAGTTAAAAAAAGTTAACAATCGCCCTGTAGTACATTATGTAAACAAATTTTGAGGAAATCTAAAGGAAATCAAGAGAAAATCAGGAGGAAATCACAGGAAATCAAAAGAAATCGGGGGAAATCAACAGGAAATCAATTGTACACTTAATGGTCGGCGGTTTACCCCCCGGATTTCTCCTACTGAGAACCTATGCATAAAATTATGTAGTAAAAAATACCACGTTTTTATTGTAAATAATCAAAAATGAATCGCCACATTGTATATAGTCACTGCCGGAGGTATTCACGCATTAGGTGTGTGCTGTGTTGCCAATTTTACTTTTATAAAATTACGTTTTTTTCGTAATCTACATCATAAATAATTTTTTTATTATTTTTTTGGAACCCCCGAAACTCCCGTATATAACGTAGTGAAGAGTTAATCCGCCATTTTCCAGACACGCGGTATATATAGATAATAAAGTAAGAATTATTATATTTAGAACATTTTGTTCCATTGTGGTTTAATTAATAATTTTAGTCCTGTGTTTTGAGAAGACAAACTCATTCAAATCAAACTAATTTCTACGTGACATTCTTTCGATATATAAACATAATTAATTAATGGCGTTATATGTTGTAGTAATCTTGTTAATCAGATCAAATTTCATGTGCCTAGATTAAATTGCCGCTGTCCATTAACTTTTGCTCCAAGGATTTGTCAAACAAATCAGCACATGAATGCCCCATTAAAAAATATGTGCCGGTGTTATAATGGCATACCGGAGGTCGATGTATTTACGTACGATATTAAAAAATTTTGTTCACAATGTAAAGGCGTCCTTGGTTGTTAGTCTGTAGTTTTATGTGTTACTATTTTCTATGCCTTCTATATTGATCTTTTCTACTTATATTTAGTATTCGTTGTTACTTACTCTTACATTAATCCTGTTAGACACTAATGTCTGTTGGATATAATATTAATAATATATTTATTTAGTTATTTATTTATTTAAACACTTGAGCGTCAGATTGCTATTACCTAATGTTGAAGGACAAGGGTTGTTAGAGACGGATTATTTTAAGTTCAACATGGTGAGTCATCAGAATCTGACAACAGACTGTCAGTCAGTAGCGTAACATGCACACTTCAGAAGTGGGTGGTTTTTACATTTATTTTTTTTAAATCACAAACAATAACACGCGGCAACATAAATTTAAGTGAACTGGTCAACACGCTAGCACGAATGTGGGGGAATCTATTAGCAGTAATCTAAACAGGTACAGGTACCTGAAAAACGATGATGGACGCCTCTGAGGGTGCACCCATTCGAAAATGCTGGATATAGTAGTAGTAAGTGTAATGCTGGATATGTTTCATAGTTTCAGGAGCGAGGGAAGTTCTGTCGAAACAATTTTCGACCAATTTTTTAAATATACCTTTAAAATGTGTTCTGAAGGGACCTCACTAGTAATTCTAACATATATTTTTTTGTATTTTTTTCTGTAAAATGTCACAATTAACATATCCCATGGATATGGAAAAGGTAAATTTGATGTAAAAATGAGTTTCCAGGTCAAACTGCAATTTTTGGGCTTTATAATTGTCAGTTCTGACCCGCCTGTCTATAAAAGACACGTTCAGGTTTCCGACCGCTATAACTTAGGAATGATAGCGAGAAGCGCGAAAAATTTTAGTTCTGATAATTCCCGACAAATTTTGTAGTTGTCAGTTTTGAGCATTCTTCATTTGTAACTTTCATTTATTTAAATGCCCAGACTGTTTTTGAAATGGAGAAATGTGTATTTAGCGACAATCTTTGTTTTTGAGGTAAAAAAGTTCTGTGTTGCTGTTTATCATTACTATCATTACCGTAAAATATTTTCGACCAAAAGACAGATGTAATTACATATTTGCGCCACCTGTAGTGTCGATTAATTTTCTAGTGTTTGTTACATTATATATAGGTACTCATAACGTTATTTTGTATCCACTAAAATTTTATTTTGCTGTGAAATTAAGACAGTAATGGCTATGTAAACGGACACTAAATGGTACTGTACCAGGCAGGTAGAAGCCCCCTCTAAAAAGTTGTATATTTTAATGCAAAACAATTATTTGCAAGAACTTTAGGTATATACTTATGTGTATTATGAACAAAGCAATGTGCAAAGTGCAATGAATAAAAAAAAACATCAGAATCTTCTCTTATAATAATGATATACATATGATTAGTATATTATCGTTTCTTTTTAAATTTTTAAGACCCACCACTGACCCGGAAATGACCGGCATTCAGGCAAGACTTCTATCATTACGGGTACTAAGACCAAGTAATGATATGCATTGATTAGATTAACAGAACAACTTTCGAGATTCTAGAATTACAGCATACAAATTAGTCTACTATTATTCTCTAATCTCACCCCATCCCCAAAAGTCTAGCGTAACTACCGACCATTTATCCGCGCATCACTTGGAAAGTGACCTACACTATTCTGCCCTACTGGTGCTAATCTAATCTGACTGACATGATCAGACTGTACATTTTGTTTTTCTGTTATACATTCTGTTTTCAATCAGAATCCTCAAATTTTTACTGGATAATTTAACAACTCACAATACGTCATACAATTTTTTTATGGATACAAAAATAACGTGTCAGATACGTGTATAACGTAATCGTCGCAAAGTTTAGTTCTGTAAAATTTCCAGCAGCAAACCGTTATTAACAACTAGCTTGTCTACCTGCAGATCCTCCTGCAAAGATTTCTCTCGCGAAGTGTGGAATATCGTACGACTGAAATTTAGAGTACATCAACATATCGTACGTTAAGACATACAGCCCACTAGTCGGTATATCCCTGTAAGTAATAGTGAAGTTTTTCTTAACTTTTAATTTTCAGCTACCTAATCATCAGAGGAGCCAAACCACGAAACAATCCTGTAAACCCTATATCGCGTACAATTCCTCTCAGGGCATCAAAAGTCCCTCGATACGGTACTTCGTAGTGCTTCCTCCAAGATCCTTTTCCTTCAGTTCTTGCCTGCAAAACAGTTTTCACAACTTCAACGGGACAAATAAATATAGTTTGTGCTGTCCCTCCAACTACTCCTGCAGTAAAATTTTAGTAATATATAGGTGTTTTTTGGTAGTATGTACCTATTTACCTGCAAGAAATATATTGGTCTTTCCTGCGTCTTTATGAAAAGAACTGTGTTTAGGATGGCCACTCGGTGTGGGCTGCAGGTAAGCCAGAGTAGTTCCGAAGACTCCAAACATTAACGCATTCGATGGTCCCACTGTTAGCAGCGGAAACAGCATACCTTTAAAGTAGCCCCGGAATCCCTCATGTCTGTAAGTTCTGCCGATTGCTGTTCTTAAACTGCTTCCGTAGGCTTGTTGGCGTACTTTTATTGTGTCTAGGGGATGGCCAACAATAAGACCACATATCCCTAGAAGAAGCGGATCTTACTTTTTTATAGAATATATGCCACATTGGAACTGCTGTTTTTAAATTAATTTAACAGGATTATCGATTGTGGTTTGCTGAATGAGCCAAAGGCGAATGTGGGAGTTTCAGCGAGTAAAATATCTATTCAGCATTCGTTGAATTTACTTTTTAATTAACAATATATCTGTATTAAAAAAGACTTAGTATAGGTACACACTTTTTTTACTTCGGGTCACAAGAAGCAAATGGTAACGTTCACAACACGTTGCTTATGAAATTCCGCATTTACCGAAAATTATATATTGGATAAATTTAATTTTATATTAACCGTGTGTGTTATAGCTCTAAATCGTTTGAGAAAATTAGTCACGACCATTCTACCTTTTACTAAAATTTTCTGGTGCGATTTATAGACGACATACACTTCTACGTATGTGATTGACCACATTTGTTACCTTTAAGTTACCTACATATTATATTATTATTCTGACTTGAAAATAAAACGTTTGAACAAATAGGGTTACAATGCGACTTCATGTTTTTGTTTTTCGCTAGAAAGAACACCCTAAAGGAAAAAGCCTCCTACATAAACTGAAGAAACAGGTAATGAACAAATCCAGATCTTAGCATTAGGTACGTCGTACCAACAACTGGATCTTGAGACTCCACTAATGTGTGACAAGACTGATAAGTTTTGGTTTTGTCCTAGACTGCAACTACTTTAACTTTAAACAAAAACCATAAGAGTGTAAATAAAAAAATTATAAATATTTGCAGGAAAAACATAGCATAGAAGTGGTACATGTCAAGAGAAGAATAACTTGAGACTAACGGAACATATGCTTAAAGAAAAAGAGATTCACTACAAACATAAAAGGACTATTAATTATAAAAAAAGAAGATACTAGTGGTTCTATTGAAAATAAGTACCACTTTGATTTCGTGCCATTCGTTGTTCTGATTTTACTGTAATTTTAGTCTCAGTTAGGCAGCACACAATATTCTATGGAATGTGATGTGTTTGCATTTCCGTTCTTTGCGCAGGTCGAAAAACCAGTGATGTTGTGAAAAGAATTTGTAAACAATGGAATTTGTCTCAAACAGCAATAAACTATCGTAATTAAGTGTGATGTTACAAGTTTAGAAGTATAATGGAAAGTATTGTGCATGACAAAACGTAAAGTACCTGCAATCCACCCTGCTATGAAATCTTCTATCTGTATGATCATTTTTCTTTATTCATCGCATTGATAAGTTTTTGTGGCTTCACTTAAACAGTTCAAAGCAGCAGGAAGTCTCTGACAACCCTTTGAAACCCACATTGGCGGCCTTGATACGAAATATTTTTAACATTTATATAAGCACAACCGTATTAAAATAGAACGGAAAATTTCACATTTGAACATGCTGTCGCGAAAAAACAAGGACTTGAAAACAATCAAAGAAGGGGTGGTTGGAAAATATGTCAAAAAAGACACCCCTCCCGAAATGCCAAGTGAGTAAAAGTCACGGATTTTTGACACGCTGACATAACCTGTGTTTTTTTAAGTCATCAACGTCTGGACTACCGAGCCAAAGAGGAGACTTTCAAACCAAAGCAGGTCTTCCCTCCCCCCATCGCTGAACAGAGGGACGAACCAGAGTAGTATTACGGTGCAGAAATTCGGGAATCAAAAGACAATAATTACTTCAGGCTTAGGGGCGCATCAGGGCAAATATACACCCAGTTCTTCTGTACCTGACCTTGCCACAAGGTTGCTATTAGCTTGTTTATGCAGTAATTGTGACTTAAATAAATTTGTAGATTTGCCAATTTGTCTACCAATGAAAACAACTCATCACATAGTACACCGAGTTCTTCGACGTCTTCAGCGCAACACATTTACATGAATCAACATATCAGTCCTTCCTACAGTGATAATTCAGCAGTAATTTGTCAGTCTTGTCAAGTGTTTGTATTAGTTCATGGTTGCTGTTTTAGAATGCTAATTATGTGGAAATTGATCAAATTTATCCTTTAACTACCACTCAAGACAATAATTCAAATTATAATAGAAATCACTCCCCTATTTATCAAAATACTAGCGATAAAAGTCAAGATACGACCCCCATTTACAGCAATACAAATGTGGAAAGATACTCAAATCCCCTACAAGGTATGTCATATGGAGAATCGCTTGCTCATCATCTCCGACACACATTGGGAAGGAGTGACAGTAATCAAGGTAATTTTTTTTCAGAGAGTAATTTTATATCTTTTGGTTGGTAACAAATTACTTGTTTATTTATTTTCCATTAGAATCTGCAAATAATAACACACTTGGTTAAATTAGGGAAAACTTGAATTATTTTCGGCGATGAATCGTCAAATATGTTTTTATAAAGGCGGCCACAGACACAGAGGGAAGACTGTGCAGTTAAAAGTGTGCACGCTTGTCGTAAGTTATTAAACCCGTACTCTCTAAACGGCGCAACTAAATTACTCGAGCGTGCAGCGACTTGTGTTCGTCCACACACTGAGTTTTCCCCGCGCACTTATAACTGTGCACGCTAAAAATCAAACCAATTTTGTTTCCAACAGACTTGACTGTACATGCCACATTCTTCCCCACACACTAGCAGTTTTCACTGTACCCCGTGGCACGTACATTGATTCTTCCCTCTCTGTGTGTGGCCGCCTTAAAATTGTTTCCAAAAATGCCAGACGCTGATGTATCAACAGAACCACATTTTTAGTAGTTTCATAATTATCCTTAAAAAGAAAATTCTTTCTTTTTAAGCATTCGCTGAGATTTGTTATACAATTTTATTCAGCGTGATCCTTAGGGTGCGTGATGCATCCTGAGTTGGTTGAATCTCACTATGACGTCACACTCAGATCGCGCCACTCAGGCCACTCTTAACATGATGAATGTTAGAAAACGGCGATCTGCACTGGAATCATTACATATGTTTCTTCTGTATTCTCATTTTCGTTCATTGTGTTTCACTTTAAAAAATCAAAACTTGATACTTTTACAATTTGCTGTAAGATTAAAAAATTGGCAGCTAAGTTTGTCCCGGCTCCAGATTAAACAGTCCAAGATCAGTATTATGTGGTTTTCAATGGAAAATTTTATAGCTGTTAATAAAACCATTAATAAGTGACTATAGTTTAATATGTTGGTAACGATAACAACTCTGAAGTTTTGAGGTAGGCATATGTTTGACATTATAAACAAGCTAAAAGGTTAAGCAGAGTTTAACTGTCTCCTGAAGAATTCATATCATCTCAGAATTTTGCAGCGTGTAGAATGACATAACAGTTAAACCTATGATTTAATGATTTATCAATAGCTATTAACATACCTAGGATGTAAAGAGTGCCCTAACCGCCGCAGTCGGCCGTTTGAAACGTTCGGATTTTAAGACGGCTAATAAGGCGGGTAGGGCACCGTTTACAGTCGTGGCGTGTTCAAGATTTTATCGGTTTCTGCCCCATTTTAATTCAATAATCCAAAAATTAATTAAAAAATAAATAAATTTGGTTGATCACGTTTGCATGATATATTTCGGTGTCATAGTTACATTTTATTGTTTACTCAAAACAACGTTTTAACAGAATTATAAAAATGATGAATTTAGGCGACGTATTGCCCGAAAATGTTAAAAATGCAGTAATTCAAGCATTAAACAGTTTAAATAGAACCGGTAAAGTTGCTTACATTATTGCATTTTACAATCATTGTTTTTCAATTCCTTGACAAATGTTGACAATTGACATTTCGGTAGGTAATACATTATTTTACAGATAGGATATAGTAATGGTTTTCCTACCAGCCAACTTTTATGAATGTAAACAGGCATTTAACGGACAGAAACCGGTAATAGTTATTTACGTGGCAAGCTTAGTAAATTAGCCTTTACGGGCGAGCCGGAATGTTTGCAGGGCGAGCGACGTAGGAGCGAGCCCTGTAATCCGGTGAGCCCCAGTAAAGGCTAGTTGCAAGCGAGCCGCGTACAACGTTTTACTTCCTCTTGCTGAAAATCCTGAAAATGAACAACTTTGGCATCTCTAGAAATTTTACTTGAAATTACAGTCATAGAAATTATAGTCATTTTTCATAGTTTGCTCCGGTAACTATGGAAAATTGAATTGTTTGAAAATAACGGGACTGTCAATTTGTAAATTCGATTAATAATTTAAATAGTTTAATTTTGTAGTGCTCTGGCAGGGGTAGGCAGCTTAGCCAGGTTACGCACTATTGAAACTCACCACTTAACTACTACATATCTTTATTATTCTTCTCTCTTACACCGCTTGGTTGCCTAGACACTTACTGCTTACATACTAACTTCTTACTCTCTACTTAATACCTTTGTTAATAGTCTTATTACATACATTATTGCTTACATCTACATTAATCCCTACTCTAATCATTCACTCTCTCTTTCACACGTTACTTATTAATTACTCCATTACACTGAGCTCTGTTAATTGTGGAATTCGATGAAGATGAAGAGTTTGAAGGTGATTTTAACGTTAGTATTAGCACAGTATTAGTGAGATTAAGAAAAAGGCCGACGCAGCGAATGTGTGTTTGATTCCGGTGGTGTCATGACAGCGTTTTACAGGCACGGTGCCTGTAAAGCTGCCACGGTAACGCTTTACAGGCAGGGTGCGTGTAAAGGCTAATTTACCGAGTTAGTTCAGACGACAGTAAACGAGCTTTAACAAGACAAGAGGAAGTAAAATTTTTAACATTCTAAAAATAAATTTGTGTAGTTTGTCGCAGAAGATAAGATAAAACACTAGATAGAGATTACAGAATATTAACTACAAGTTATTTCTTTATTCCCTCTAGAAAATTAGGTAATTTTAACACTGCATGGGAAATTTGTAGTTTCAAAGTAATAAGATCCACAGATAGTTTTAAGATTTTGTTAGGAATTCGAGAACTGTTGACATTTAAAAAAATTGGTCTAAAGAGTTTAGACAGCACTTCCCTCGCTGTGGGAAACGTGACAACTGCATGCCTATTATGTTTTTTTTCGTATTACATTTTTGTAGCGGAGTATTTTAAAATAAAATGAGTATTCATTTTTTCAATTTTGCCATTATTTGGCATTGACATCTTTGTCATTTTTTTATTGTGATTCTATGATTGCTTATTAAAAAAAAAAATTAAATTGGACGAAGTCGTCTCTGGGGTGTATAATATGTTGCCTATGCAAAAATCGTCAGGCGTAAACAGATAAAAGGTAACACCCTGTATAGTACTTGTAATTTAAGACTAATACGTCTGTATTGACTCAGTCATTCATTTTTTTTCAGACACCCCGTATAACCAAATCTAAAAAATATTAATGCAGTGATAAATCACTAGTATAGACTCATTATTCTTTACACATTTAAGATAGCATTTTTTCAGCAAAATTTTGCGACGGCATCATCAAATTTTTAGGGGGGATGAGCAAATACATTTTGATCAAAATTTTACCATGCTTATAAATTTAAAACATTTCCAAGGTTTCAACTCATTCGGTTTTGCAGTTCCTGATTAAATCAATCAAATAAATTCACGCATTCATTAATTTTAGTGGGTCACCCTGTATATGCAAATCCAAAAAATATGAATGGAATGATAAACCACAACTACAGACTAATCATATTTTGCACATTTTAAATTTTGAGAGGACGTCATCAAATTTTTTAGGAAGGGAGGAGCAAATACAATTTGACTAAAAATTTACCATGCCTGTGATAACTTTAAAACATCTCCAAGATTTCAAAGCATTCGGTTTTGCAGATTCAAAATTAAATTGCAAAATGTTGTTTCATAATTTTGATTTTTTTTCGAAAAATTCGGGTAAAAACTCAATTCGGAGTCATAAACTACATGTGTGGGACTATGTTATTTTATACAATTTAAAACCCATTTATTATGTACAATTTTGAAGTGACGTCATCGCATTAGTGGTGGGGATGATTAGACAAATTTTGATTAGCGTTTTATCATCTACATGATATGCCTAATATAAGTCCAAAAGTTCACAACAATCGGACCAGTACTTTCGGAAATTATCTGTCTAATAAAAATCCGGGACGGCAGACAGACGGAAACGGGAGACCTATTTCTTCGTCCTCTAGGGGTCATGATAGATCGAGAAAACGTAAAAGTAGAGAGTCGGCCGGCGGACTCGATTATAATACTTCCTTTGCTTACGCTCGGGAAGTAAAAATTATACTCCCTCTGTGCGAAAATATGGTATACATTTTACAAAATTAGTATAATTAACGAGTGATGACCCGCAAATTATAATCAAGTAATTTTATTTGCAACTAGTATAATAATGGAACATCATATAAAAAGTGGACTGAGATCTACGTTCGTTTCTGTTAAAAAACTGACCAAGAAAATTACTACAATAACAACAAAATAAATCAACACCCGCTGAATTTATAAGAGATTTTAGAAAAATTAATTAAATTAAATAGATTATTTATTATAATAAATAATAATATATTATAATAATCTAATTTATTTATGTATTTTATTTAGTTACTTATTTATTTAATTTTAAGTATAAAATTCCTCATCTTAATAAATCCAAACTTCGTCGTGAGGGAAGGTTACCAACGAGATTGGTATGTTCTCCAGAAGCTCTAAATAAAGTCCCATTGCATATAAATTGAAATGTATTGTCGTTATAATAGTATTATTAAATAAAGTTACAAATGTATACCATATTTTCGGACGGAGGGAGTATAATTTAATTTGGGGTTGATGTCCGCCTGTTGAACGTCTGGAGACTGAATGGGTATGGTTACGACATGTTTCCACTTTATTAATTAACGTCATCACCAGGTTATGTTTAACAAACTAAAAGAGGTTATTAAGTAACTATAGATTAAGCGTCTAAACTCACCTAGTAACATGGATATTAAAATTTATAAAAATACAATGATTAAAATTAATAATTAAAATGCCCGAGATTTATAGAAAATGGTGTAAATTATATCATGTTTTTTATGAATTTAATCAATAATTTGAAATTTATCAGAAATAACAGGAAGTCATGTAAATTGTTGATGACAGTTAGGGCATAAAGTGGGATCACTAAAAGGGTGATTGACAAAATTTTATAGATCGACAAGTGTTTGCGTTTTACAAATTTAATTTAGTTTGCCCTGAATTTGCTAACTGGAAACGCTTACTGGGCTTGACTTATCGACTTTCGCGAATAACCCCCTAAAAAATTAATTAACGACTAATAAAGTACTTGCCCAACTCAGCAACTACAAAGAAAGAGGGATAGAAATACACAGAGGAAAAGGAAAATCGATAATTCGGTGAAAATATTTACATATAAATTTCCATTTATAATAAAAAATGAACTCTATTGAAATTTTAGAACGATTGTGCATTTTAATTATGCTATCAACTCGGGAAAGATTTTTTAAAAGCATTAATACACTTAGTTATTTAGTTTATATCGTGGATTTGGAGTCGATCAACTCAGTCCGATCGGATTGAAACTAATGGTATAAACGCTGCAGGTCGAATGTTGAAGTGGATTCACTATCAAAATTCGATCCGACAAACTAGTCGGATTGAATCGAACCGATCGAATCTAAAACGGATTCAAATGCTTGAAGAAGCGATGTAAACGGACTTGAACTTTTATGGGTTTATTATTTATGTTGACAACTTCACAGATAAAAAGAAATAGTGTTGCACTATTATCTTTCTCCAAAAGTCAAATTCAAACCAATTTCAAACTACAAATCAGTGGATCGAACGGACTGTTTTCCGTGATATAAACGCCCGTAGATTAAAGTGGGTTTGACAACTTCGATCGTCTCGAAAATCGATTGGATCGAAATCTACGATATAAACACACTATGTACCTAATATAATGCTCGTTCAGATCTGAACATACCTCATATTTTAAAATAGATTTACACGGTAAATGTTTTAAATACATGGTAAAAAAAGCAACTTAGACGGGAAGATATTGTTTTATTATTTACATTAATTTTAGATTTGCAAAGTATTTTCGTATTATTATTAAGGTTAAATTACGCAAAATGAAAGAAACTATTTTCCACGAACATCAGAATATATCTCTAGAAACTTTTACTTTCCGAGCGTAAGCGATGGAAGTATTATAATCAGACTTCAGCATCGCGGAAGTGATGCTCATTGCTGTTCGATCGCCAGCGCTATTGCAGTCGTGGCCTACAACTTCGGGAATTCTTAATAACAATTCTACTTTTTCTAGGTTTTCCGCAGTTACACGACTTCTCCTAGATGTTAAAATGCTTTAAAAATCAAAAAATGCTGTTCAACATCACAATTTTCGTGATGATCTTGATCAGGTAAACCCTGAATTGCATCAAATGCCACTGAGGTTGAAACTGCACAGTCGGCCAGCCATATTTATCGCCTGACGTCGCGCCGTTGTTTTTAATATTTGTCTGATTGATTTCCCATCACTTCGGCTATGCCTAACTCAGATGATAGTCGAGTTTCAAAGTTCATTTTAGAGCAAAAATGTTCAAAAATTCCTTTGAAAAAATGAAACCACTGTATAAATAAATATTATAGTGGTAGCAAACGTTTTTAGAATTTAGCGAAACATGTATGTACTGAACGAAACCTAAGTTTTTTTTTTCTGTAAATTTAGATCAATCAGAAGAACTACCCTTACCACCAGGATGGTCAGTGGACTATACATTACGAGGCCGGAAGTATTATATAGATCACAACACAAAAACAACACATTGGTCGCACCCTCTTGAAAGAGAAGGACTACCAACAGGATGGCAATGTGTACATTCTCCCCACTATGGCATATATTATGTCAAGTAAGTATCACTTTACTTAAATATAAACATTTTAACATCCAATTTTAGTCACATCACTAAACAAGCTCAATATGAGCACCCTTGTCTAGTGCCTTGTTTTAACTATCAGCCAGAAGTGAGATATTTAAATCCACCAAGGCCCACTCATTATCAACCACACAGTGTCTTAGTGCCCGCGAACCCGTATTTGCTTGAGGAAATTCCTCACTGGCTTAATATTTACTTTAAAGGTAAATTATAGAAACACTTTTTTTTACTAAAAAAATTTATTTTGCTGTTTTAGCAAGCCCTGATTTAGACCATAAACTTAGATGGGACATGTTTCGCCTCCAGGACTTGGATTGCTACAACGGCATGCTTACGCGCCTGTACAAACAGGAGTTGCAAAATATTGTAATGAGATATGAAACATACAGGTAATATCGTTAAGTACAGTGATGAAGATGACTATACCTTGTTTTTAGGTCAGCTTTGCTTGTTGAAATGGAAAAGTTTCGAAACAATCGGAACAACACAGGGGCTGTGACCAGTCAATGAAAAGTACCATGTTCCTTTGTTTTTATTATTTAACTATAAAATGTGATTTTAAGTTTATTTATTCTCGTACAGCTTCATTCCCAGTAGCATTTTCTGACGCTTCGTCATCCAGATTATTATGGATTTCGTAACTAGATACATTTAATCCTGATATTTTATATACTTTCGCATCCTTTATGCCTAGAGTTCTAGACCAGTGTTGTGCTATTAAAAAATAAATTATTGCTTTATTTTATTAATTTGGGGGTTTGCTTACCTGGTGTCAGACTCAGTTCAGCATCTGATTTATATTTGCGAGCCCAGTCTGCGTTTCCTGAGAAAACGTTGTAAAGCACCAAACCAAAAGCGTTCCATGCTAAAAGCATATAGACCAACGACAGTCTGCGTTTCCAAAAGTACGCCTTTTCTTCTGGAATGTAGTTGGTGTGGCGTCGCACAAACTCCCGTAACCATCGAAAATTGAACAAGGACATTCTGAAAAAATGGAAAAGTGAGGTTATAGTAGTGTCAAAAATTTTAGGTTAGAATTAAGGAGTTTGATAATCGTTTGAATAAAAAAGTTGAATCTATTGTAATTCGTTTTGCCGCTGTATGAGAAGTGTTGTGTCTGGCATACAAGTTGTTTACCTGCTAAATTAATTTTTTACTTTATATTGCATAATCTGACAGCTACGTGTCCTACTTTATCGACGGGTGGTTTAAAAAATAAACAAAATGGCGTTTCTTTAAAAAGTAACAAAATTTGAAGTGAGGTGTTGTAAAATTTTAGTGTCATTTTCAAAATCATTTAAATTAATATGAAGCACTAATTTCGATAAAACTTTACAAAATGTAAGTACGGTAGACTTGAATTCAAAAAATACAAGTTTTTTTAAATGTTAACCCGGTTAAAAGTTGTTACCATATTTGGTTCTATGCATAACCTAAATTTTATCCATTTACATTGACCGTTTTTTTAAATGAAGGTCAATTTTTTAGTTTCAGTTACCCATTGCTATCATCAAGATGGAAAAACACATAGGAGACACTATCGATGAAGTTTCCATTTCAAGTGGGAGCAGCACAGATTCCCTCAGGTTACGCACCAAGTTACCCCAGATGGAACTAAACCGGTAAGTGATTTTTCATGCTTTAACGTTACAACTAACATACATTTAGGATTGCTTCAAAACCTATAGTTTTTTCCTGGCGTCCATCCCAATTTCCTGAAGAAACCCCTGAAAATGTCTCCTCCCAGTGTACACTTTTTGACGTACCCCAAGATAAAAGGTTTCCTTTTTAGTATTAATTTTTAAGCGCCTTAACTAAATTGCTGAATATTTGAACATGATTATTTTTGATAGAGACACCCTTCTTCAAAAATTCAAATTATTAAAATCACGCAGGTATCAGATTGGGGAACGTGCAACCTGTTCATTGTTGTGTAATTGCCTGTCACGATTCGTTGTTTTCTAGGTCTATTTTTATGGCTGATGGGGCAAAAACTTAACTTTCTCATTTACATCCATTCATTTTGATTTGTTTATTTGCTTAATTTTCGAGATAATGATGTCATTTCTTGATTCTTATCTGTTTAATCAATACTTTGTTTAATTAAATTTCATGTTATACCCTCATCACGTCAATTAACATGATAAAAACGTTTTTATTACTTTTACATTCCTAATTGGACGATACCGCAAGCCCGCATAAAAAATCGTCTATATTTGGATGTAAAATACCATATACAACAAGATATGCAAATTGTGGTGATGTCACGAGGCGGTTCATTTCTCCGTTATCTTTTAATGCACCTCGAGTGCACTCCCGATTTGCAAAAATTTATTTTCGTGGATTAACAAGCCAGCGTTTGATGGCTATTTTTTAACATGGGCCACATGTGAAATATAAAAATAGTAGTGACTAGGACAATGCATCGCTACTTTTAGAACGTTGTGCCATCAGGGCGTTTAATGATGCTGTAAATAATAATCATCTCTTTAATGCGTTATTTGCATACCACCCAGATACAGAGAGACTAATGCGTTTTTTCTGGCACGTAGGAGTGCAGAAATCACTGATGCCTTTTTCCTGACAGAAATATAAACGTCGTAGTAAATCATCACATTTTTTGGATGTATTTGTGAATGAGCTTATTTCAAAGTGCAATTTTCACACAGTTTTGATTTTGTTGTTATGAAAAAGCCGCACTGGTGTGTTCTTATATAATAATCGATAAATTTAACTTTTATTATTTATAATTTAAACATTTTTTTATGAATCTCGTCCGCATTAGGTTTTTTCTTTATTATTAAAGTCGACGTTGTTTAGGGTGTTTTTTTAGGCAAAGGTTGACAAAACCAGTTTTCTTGGTGTTAGAATGGCAATTCAATTTAAATAATAGATAGAAAAACTGATGCATTATTCTTCCTTATTTGCGATAAAGTTAATACTATAAAAATGACCATAATTAAAGTTGATAAAAAAAAGTACAACAAATCCACAAAACTGCTTAGTTCGAGTTACCTTTTTTATAAGACTAATTTGGTTCTAATTATTGAGATAAGGAAGACACAGTTTCGGGATGTAGAGTAGGTTAAATTAGAAAAAGTTTCTATTTTTGGCATAATCAATAGCCGTTGTCAAGTACACTACCATAGTATATTTTCATATTTGAGATGTATAAATAAAAGAAGAAATTGCCAAGTTCAAGTATTAAGTAATGAGGCAATAGAATAATTTGAATGAGATATGAATATTTTATTGTCCAGGTTTATTCGTGGTTTGGTAGTAACTTCTAAATAACGAAAATTTCCATGAGTACGTGTAAGCATGGTGTAAGTTAATCAGTGTCAAAGTTCGTTTCGCTGCTATCTTGATTCCGGTGGAATATCGTTATTATTAATTTATATTTATGTGAAATATTGAATTTCTTATTTTTTTTAGAGTTGTTGGCTTTTATGTTCAACAGATTTTATTATTTCGTTGGGAAAACAACAATGCAAATTATTCGGTTATTTTTCAATCCAAAAAAAAGTTAATAAATTACATACTTCTTTTTACTGAAACCACATAGTATCCATTTTTGGTGAGTAATAAATGTTAATCGATTTTTCCAGTTTCTGCAAAGTCAAACATTGTTCGTTTCTTTGTTAATGTAGGGATTTAACAAAGAACATACTGGATATTATACTGTGTAGGTAGTATAGAAGAGAGAATGTTTTGTTTGTGTCATTGTTAAGCTTTGAACCTTGCAAATTCAAAGCAACAGCTGCTGGGCATATAAATGGAATGAATGTTAACATAATGCTGCGCTGCTATGACTGTAATTTTGTGATATTGAAAACTATTCTCAATTTTTAGAAACGGAAATATCCAAATTAACTGTAAGTTAAAAAATTATAACCAATATTGGGGAGTTGCATTTTGAAATAAGTTTTTTGTAAATGCAAATTCGGAGTGAGTAACAGATTATTATTTAATAAATTTTTAACATATAAGGTGTTTCATTGAAATTTTGTATTTATATTAGCAATTTCATGTAGATGGTAAAACGCTAACCAAAATTTGCCTAATCATCCCCACCTATAATGTGATGACGTCACTTCAAAATTGTACATGGTAAATGGGTTTTAAATTGTATAAAATAACATAGACCTACACATGTAGTTTATGATTTCCAACTGAGTTTTTACTCGAAACGTCCAGATTTTTTGAAAAAAAAATCAAAATTATGAAACTACATTTTGCAATTTAATTTGGAATCTGCAAAACCGAATGCTTTGAAATCTTGCAGATGATTTACAGTTATGCTAAGCATAATAAATTTTTATTCAAAATATATTTACTTGTCCTCTCCAAAAAATGTATAACGTCACCTCAAAAGTTTGCCGAATAAATCCTATGTAAAATGTACAAAATATGATGAGTCTGTACTTGTGATTTATATTCCATTCATATTTTTTGGATTTGCATATACAGGGTGACTCAAAAAAATTAATGAATGGTTAATTTATTTATTAATTTATTTAATCAGAAACTACAAAGCCGAATGCTTCAAAATCTTGGAGATGTTTTACAGTTATCATAGAAATAGTAAATTTTTAGTCAAAATATATTTCCTCATCTCCCTCTAAAAAATTGATGACGTCACCTCAAAATTTTGCTGAATAAATCCTATGTTAAATGTGCAAAGTATGATGAGACAATACTTGTAATTTATCATTCCATTCATATTTTTTGGATTTGCATATACAGGGTGACTCAAAAAAATTAATGAATGCGTGATTTTATTTTATTGATTAAATCAGGAATAGTTCACTCCATTTTCCCGAAAATTTGGAGATACAACACTGTTACTATTAGTATTACATTGGACTAACCCAATTTAATAGACACAAAATTTTGTAAAGTAAAAACTCGTTTGAAACATAGGCGTAGCACGCTTATTTATATTTACTTTAACATTACAGACGTGCATTTGTTTTGTTGCGCTGACTAGGTTCCGTGAATGTGGTATAGACAAGTTATAATCAACCAATTGTGAATTACACGATCAAAAATTAAAATAAAATCCAATGTCCAAGCGGAAGTCGAAGCAATAAAAAAGTCCATCGGTATTGTTTGCAGTTTCTCTGTTTGACTCTCATTTGTCTTGTCTTAAATTAAGAATGCTTATACGTAAATGATTTTGAGTCGCCTCTGCTAATACTCGTGGCGTACGTGAGTAAACTGTTTCCCGAAAATTTGGGAATATAGTACTTTTACTTTTAGTATTACACTACATCCATCCTAACTGATATACGTGTCCTTGCAAAAATGTTGATGACGTCATTGCATTTTTTTTTTAAATTGCCCCGCTACAAAAATGTAATGAGAAAAAAAAACATAATAGGCATGCAGTTGTAAGGTTTCTGACAGTGAGGGAAGTACTGTCTAAACTCTTTAGACCAATTTTTTTTTTAATTTTATTTTTAAATTACGGAAATATAATGCATGTTACGTCCTTTTTAAATGCAGTTTAAATCACAATAAATTGAACACTGGCTACAATAAAATATTTCCGACAAAATAAAACGCCAATTTTCCCGTTTCCGTTTGTTTGCCTATCCTCTCACGTCTTTGCTGATTTTATTAGACAGTTAATCTCCGAAACTATTGAACGGATTGTATTTGTAATTTAGGAATATCCTGTAGATATCCCAATGATGCATAGTAAATACTGTTTAAATTTTATGAAATAACAATCCCAAACTTGTGGTTTATGAATCCGCCTCATTTTATTTATTTAGTAGCTATGAAAAAAATAAAATTCGCAAACTTAGATTTTATCATTTTTCGAAGAAGTTGTATTTGTTGCGCTGTACTGCGAGGGAAATTTTTTGTTTTAAGAGCGAGTATAACAAAACATTAATTAAAAATATTCAGGTAAACTCTGTAAACATAAATAACATTATTACTGTTTGGCAACGTAAATGACAATAAATCCTCTTAATTGCTGAAAACTGGTAGAAGCACAATTCTAACATGGACAGGGAGTCGCATACTTTTAAATGTATGTTAAAATATGCAGAAAATGAAAACAACTCAGTACTATATAAAGTGCTATCAAAAACTTAATAAACCTAATTAAAACTTTTTTTTCTCTCTTAACTCGATTTTTTTTTTGTTACTTTTTGAGTCATAATAATAATAATAATAGTTTATTCATCCCAACAGGTCATCCCAATTACAGGAATCATACGAATAAATAAAAATAAATTCATGTTAACAAAAATCATAACTTAATTATATATAATAAAAAACTATTAAGAATACAAAAGCATATATAACTAGAAGAATCAAAGTGAATGTCACATTTATCAGCTGTCTTATTGTACAAAGAACACATCAATGAAATTGGTGATCTAAATAAAACATTTTTGCGCGAATAAGGTTTATAAAATAACCGGTATTGGCGAATACTAGGACGCGGTACCAGAAAATTTATCTTATTTAACAGTGCAGCACAGTCAACCTTATTGTTAAGAAGACTATACAAAAAACGTATAATTAGAATGTTGTGACGCACACTAATAAGAGCTGTAAAGTTAAATCTTCCTAGTAGAATGTCGTGATTAAATCCACGAGAAGTTTATGCACCATCTTCCATGAAGTCTAAAAATTTCAAAAATTTTCCCTGAACAGCCTCCAGGTTGACTCTGTGAACATCGTAAATTGGCGACCAAGTAATAATACCATATTCCAGTCGGGATCTGATTAAGGAATAGAACAAAATTTTTAGAGTGTTCTGATTGGAGAACTCACAACCATTTCGAAAAATAAATCCATACATTTTGAAAGCTTTTGCTATTATGTCGGTAATATTCTATATAGCTGAAAAAGTAAAAAAAAAATCGTATTTTAAAAAAATAATTGATTTTTGATTAAAAAGAAACCTATTTTTTTTCAACTCTGACACATAAGGAAAAATGAGGAACAAAAAATTTACTGAAATCTGTAAAAGTCATGTATTTCACAGTTAAGGTGGATAAAATTTGATTTTTTCAATGTGTAAAGAAAAATTGAAGAATTGTTTCTTTAAAAAAAGAGTATTATTTAGTATGTTTTAGCCGAAACTCTACTCTCGATCCACGTCAATAAAATTTGTCTAAAGTTATTCTAAAATTAGTTGGACAGAACTTTCTTCACATCTGAAACAATCAAGTAAATCCAATTTGTTAGATAAATTGGAATATTTAAGGCAGGGAATTCTATTTAATTTTATTTCTTATATAAAATAAAAATAAATGCGGATTAATAAACTACAAGTAAAAAAGCATGTTGATATGCTTGAACTTCAAGTGAATTTTTTGAATTGAATTTTATTGCTTCCTTTATTAATTTTGTACAAGCAACTACAAAAATATGGATGCGTTGATAAATGACAAGTAGTGTAGATACATAATATTTTGTAGAATTAAGATAGGATTTATATACCAAAATTTTGAAATGACGTCATCACATTTTTGGAGAGAATAAACGAATACATTTTTATTCGCAATTTACGATGCTTACGATCACTTTAAATTATTTGCAAGATTTGAAGTGTCTAAGCGAAATTATAAAATGTTATACAAATTTTAATTTTTTTTCCGAAAAAATAGACGTCCCATTTTATAAAATTTAAATAGGATTTACACAGCAAAACTATGGGATGGTGTCATCAAATTGTTGATCGGACAAATTTTAGCTAGCGTTTTATCATCTACACGAGGTTAACAGTTAAAACTATTAAAAACTTTTACCCAATTTAACTCAGATTTTTTTCAAAATTTTTGTTACGGGCGATTGCCAAAGTTTTTTGAATTTTACCTTCAACTTGTTATAAATAAAAATAAATATACAAATTTGCGATAATTGAACGTAAACAAGAAAAAAAGGAATTCATTCACAATGTTCATTGAGCTGGTTTTCAGGTGCTCAACAAGAATATAATTTTTTAATTTGTTATTCTATTGCTTATCACGCTCTCAATAGACACATATGTTTTTTAAATGTGCTCGTTCATTCTGACGCGGATGTGGGTTGGTAAAAGCTCGATTTGATATAGTTATAAATAATTCTTTGTGGTAGATTGGTTGACTGTTGTAAATTTCTCGCTAGCGCGTTAATTAAAATATTTTAATGCTTGAACTTAACAGAAGCCAAAATTCGTGAAAATAATTACATGGTTAAGTACATTTTACTTATCGCCTAGATCTTTCGAAATTTCTTTAAAAAAGTCAACTTAATTTAAATTTGGTTTGATCTCTTGGTGGACTTATAAAATTTAAGAGTGTTTAATACATCTTTATTGAAAATTGCTAGAATCTATAGCATTATGACTCCACTAAGTGTTGTTGGCCTTAATATTAAAGAAACTTTATTGTTGTTAGGTTTAATTAGCTTATATTTCACTCATTTAATTTTTGTAACTGGATTCAGATTTAAGACTGTTGCTTCAGTTTGGTGACTACGTAAAAAATTAATTGTGCCTCTATTATAACGGGTGTTCATCCATTTGGCAGAAACATAACCTGTTGTATGTTATAAGAACAGACATTCCGTTTCTGTCAAAAGATATTCCAACGCCTATTCTGAGTGATTTTTCTACTGAACACCCGTTGCATTATTTCTTAAATGTGTGCAATTATTTTGAAGGAAGAAGGATTGAAATTTATATGTATAGCATAAAAAATCATAAATCAAGTAATTTATCGTTAAATTTTTAACAAATATTTTAAACAGTGTATTACAAAAATAGTACTGCACAAGCACAATTTAATAATCCTCATGTTTACAAAATCGCTAAACATTTAAAAACTATTGTGATGTTAATCAACAATTACTATTTTCTATAAGCACTACCATCTATCATTTTACCATTATTGTTTTGAAAGTTTAATGATATTATTATTAATTTCATAAATGGCGGTTTAAGTAAATTATTGAAAAATATCTTAGCGATAGCGTAGCATTTGTTACTATTATTAGATGCTTAAAACCAGACTGTCTCAACATGCAAAAAAAAAAAATTGCCAGTTCTATTATGTTTTTCGCTTTACAAATAATAGAAAATTATGAAAATTTGGAACATTATTTTTTAATTGTTGCTTTTCATACTTTCAAAGAACGTAACGTAACCACTCGTTCTTTATAAATCACACAGTAAAATAATCACCCACGAGCCAACCCTGCCACCTGACACCTGGTTGCTCGGCGGCACACTGGGCTGCCGCAATGCCTCTCTGGTATTCAAAAGCTCAGCCCTCGCCAACTGCACCCCACAATCAATTCAAGAAAAACCGGGCTACAAGCTCCACATCACCTACAAAGTTTTACAAGCCGAAACTAAACTCCTTTCGAAACTCCTCGAATGCCACGGCATTGTCGAGGTGCCGCCGAATTCGATGGACTTTAACCTGCTATGGACCGGATCTCACCCGAAGCCAGGTCCGTTGACATTAACATCCGATTATTCAATTACTAACTGAAAGTTTCTGTGAAACAAAGGCGCCTTGAGAGCCATGGCCCCACACCAAAGAGTCAATCATTTCCCTCGGTCCTACGAGCTGACGCGTAAGGATCGCCTGTACAAAAATATCGAACGATTACAGCATGCCAAAGGTTACAAACATTTCAATTTCATACCCCAGACTTTCGTCATGCCGACGGAATATGGGGAGTTGTGTACGACGCATCACAGGATCAAAGGTCCTTGGATTGTCAAGCCTGTAGCTTCAAGCAGAGGGAGAGGTAAGAGCTTGCTAGATTAATATCTGGGGGACGCTTGCTCGGGTTCGTACAAAGAGTTGTTGAATGAAATTGGCCGGCTTGTAAAAGGAAACGTGAAAAGAAGTTGTTTGTTAAGTAATGATTTCAAATTCGAAAGTTAAACAGCAAATCATAATAATAATATTGGTCGTATTTGTTAACTTTTTCATTTATAAAATTGAACGAAGTTTATCGACCTGTTGTAATCAATGTCTGTTATTCGTTTGCATAAACAATAAATTTCTATAGTTCATGTTGTCTTCTGCGACATATGAAAGGCGCAGCGAATGATTATAAAATTGCGCTTTTAAAGTTATAACTATTTTTTGAGTTCTTTGTACTAAGCGAAAAAAAAAAACATTGAGGTTCACTTTGCAATATCCATTACGATAACACAATTGGATAATAATTTGATGTGAATTTTTTTTTAAGCACTCACAGGGAATGTTTTTATTGTGTGGTTATAATAATAAATCTTTATTGTTCTACACAAAAAAACCTAATTGATACATGGCCGTCAGCTTATTTGGAATTTGTTTCGTTATTAAAATTAAATCAAACTAAAGCAGTAGATTGCGCTATCTTAAACATTAGGGACCTGTTTTCTTTAACTGCCAGTATTGGTTCAGAAACTGATTCGAATCTAAATTCACATCCATTTTACTGTCTGAGTCAGTATCGTCTATATTTCATAAAGAATTCGAATTTGTATGCATGCAACTGTCCCATTTAAGTAAATATTGACGAAAAAATCTCCGTTTTAGACTTAAACTGATTAACGTTGTATGACTGAATGTGAAGTTTTTTCAATTTATTAAAAATCAGTCTTGTTGATATTGAAATCAGACTGGTAACATATGATCAAAAAAAAAATTCTGTAGTAGGCCATGAAATTTATTTTCAAAATAATGTTGTCAACACACATAAATTTCGTGGCCTACTAGAGAACTTTTTTTACGATCATATGATATTTTATGCCTAAGCTCCTATTTCTAATATTGGAGCAATTGTGCTTGTGTTCAATGGGTCAGTCTTGAGTGACAGGTAGATAGTGCAGTCGAAAACAATACTGTAAACAAGTAAAAGCATTCAAACGTTAATTATCTGGTAAGACATGTTATTTTTTAGGCGCAACTGCAAACAGTGCTTGAATTTAAGATAAATTACATTTGCCGCCAAAAATTCTCATATAGCTAATCGTTACTTCTTAGCTCCTACGTTGTTAAATTCATCAAAAAATTAATATTACAACTTTAATTGTATTATTTACTCGCTGTGAGTAAATAGACACTACTATGACGTTAGAATTCGTCGTTATAGTCTTTTATCTTTTGTTTACATGACTATAAGTCTTTTATTACAATTTTTTAGTTTAAGCTTCAAGAGTTGCCATATAGTGCTCCATAAATAAGCGTCGCGACATATAGTCTCCGTATCTAAAACATTATGGTGCTCGTAAAACTTTGATTTTTTGTATGAATAATATCGCAGCTCGAAACTTCGAAGCTGACGGTTTCAAGTTTAATCGCAACTTTTTTAAACAAAAAGATGTCTTTTGTAAGATTAAGTAATGATTAATGAGACGTTCTGTTTGAATGATCGGCATCCTTAAGGGAAACATTACAGAGAAAATCAAAATCATAATTAAAAAAACTTCAGCTTGATTTACAGTTGCCAAATACAACATGCGAAGCTCTAAAATATCGCATTAGAAAGATTGTGTGGGCAATTAATAATAATACAAAAGTTAAAATAATGTTTTAGAAGGTAAAGTTGTATATTAAAACATTTTATTACCCACATACTCTTAAGTTTGTAGAATTTTACTGATGTATAAAGTTCATTATAACTAGTTGTAATAATATATATGTTTTTATCTACGATTTCAGAATTTTGTTTAAAACCAAATTATGTGTGAAATATATAAACGAAAAATATTCTGATTTCTATTAAAAAAACGGTTATATCATTTATCGCATTCATTGGAGTAAGATAAATTATATGGTTATAGTACATTTTATATTACCGCACAAGTGGTAATGTATGAATAGGATATCTGTAGTTTTATTTTGTTACGGTTTCGATTACATTCTAGTTATAGTAGCTCGAAAACCAAAAGTTCATGAAATTTTTAAAATTGTTTTAATTCCAATGACCAAACTTTCATTATATTGACTATTTTTGTTTAACCTAAGAGATAAAAACTACAAGTGAAAATTCTACTAATTTCATTCGTTACTTATTTTGGTATCTTGAAAGAAAATCTTCTGAATTTTTTGTACGAATTGAGATGTGTCGTCCCCAGACTTACGAATAGTGGTAGAAAATGCGTACTTTCAGGTATTTTTATTGTTGAAACACCAAATCAAGTGCCTCTAGAAGAACCCGTTGTCGTGGCCAAATACATAGCGAAACCCCTTTTAGTAGCAGGTCATAAGTGTGACCTACGCTTATACGTAGCTGTTACTTCTTTTGATCCGTTGCTAGTGTACATATACGAAGAAGGCCTAGTACGGTTTGCTACCGTTAAATACGATTCTAGTCATAAACAGCTGTGGAACCCCTGTATGCACCTCTGTAATTATAGTATTAACAAGTATCATAGTGATTACGTCAAGTAAGTATACACTTCCACATAAAAACTTTTAAAACAAACTGACAAAAATATCAACCGAATGGTGACAAACTGTTTATATTTCACCATCCGGGATTATCAAGGTTGATACTTTAGCTTAACGTGCAGTGGCATTCCTGTGGGGAATTCTCGGAGGTGAAAGATTCCCACATATCGTGTAATTGGGTACTCGTGGCGGTAATAATATAATATTTACAGCAAAAAGCTAAATTTGGCGAAAATGTTGCGTTACTGTAGGTATTAGGTTGTTTTTTTTAACATGGCTTTTGCTACGGTAATCGTAGTGTAATCCCGCTCCTGACAGTACTTGCGTAATACGTTTTGAATTAGTCATTTTCCTGACAATGTTCCGCTTACTCGAAAGCGAGTGGATACGGTCTGATTAGCGTTTAATTTAAATTTCTCGGATACGTCCAATTTGTGAAGCGGTGTGAAAATTTTTGAAATTAAAGTGGTATTAATGTAGGCGAGGCTTCGACGGGAAAAAGTTGCACAGTAATTGTGCATATGTTACAAGTTGATGAGTTATTTAAATCAAAATATTTAATGTTCGTTTTCTGTGTTTAATTTCAAATCTACATATGTTCAGAAACATTATTATCATTTGTGTTCTAAATGAGTACTTACAGTGTGCTGATTTGTAAGAATTGTGGGTAGTAATAATGCATAAAAAATGTAGTGTTTTTTATTTAAAATAATATGCGCAGACTATTTGTGTGAGATGAAACATTTATATTTTTGAAATGTTGGTCATTTTCGCCTACCACAATTGGATAGATATACATCTTAGCTGAATAACCCTGTATATATAGCAGTTTAAGTAATGAAAGATAAAGATAAAAATTTGATAAATTTGGTGGATTTCATATAATCGTATAATTTTTTCTGTAGTATTTGCATGATTTTCTAAATTTGATTTTTATGTTATTTATAAATATATCAAATAAAAAACTGTATGGGACTGTTGTAGATAAAATGAATCTACAAAGTAAAGGTTCTTAGTAATATACCTATATCTTAAACTTGATCATAACACTTTCCGTTTCACTTGGAATAGATTTTTTTTTTAAATAATATTGAAAACATTAATTTCTGTATTGTATAATACACTTTTAAACTATATTGTGGCGTATTATAAATTTCGCACTAGTGCATTTTAAAAATATGTAATATATTTTTTAAAACAAAAATTGCTTTCATTTCCGAGGAAAGTAAACTATCAGGGGAGTTCGAATTGCGCACATGACCTGAAAAAATAGGAATTGCGCCCTTTCACCGCTCGGAAAATGTCCGAATTGAGCCCACTACCTGAATGCTCCCTTACCGCGTTCTTAGACTCTACAATGCAGGTAAAAATTACTCTCCATTGAAAAATGCAGTGTTTTGTGGCGTCAGTATAAGACATTTCAATTACCTAAATATAAATGATCACAGAAATGAACTCTAAAAATAAATTGACGAATGCACAGTTTTACTGAGGTGCCATTCTTATAGTAAGTAATATTACTCTACACCTACCTAAAATGTACATATCAAATGTATATTCAGTTCAATTACATAGTAGATAAATTATGTTAACCTGCTATGTTTTATGTAATCAAATTTTCCTCAGTTTGATTGTAAATTCGTGCACCTATTTATATATAATCTACACAGATGGTAATGGGCTGTTGTTTCCTCGTATCATGTGGGTCCACAGTGCAGAATTTTGAGGAGCAACAACAAATGCTTGCAAATCGTTTCACGCGAAATATACTTAATAACTCATTTAGTTCTTGTCATCCTAATAGGTTTACCTTTTCGAAATATTAAAGAAATTTGTGTTTATATAAAAATTTGGTTTTCTTTAATGAAGAAAAACGTCATTCTTAGAGATTATGAAAAGAAACCTCCGAGGAAATTTTACCTAGTTCATGGAGAATAAAACGGGGTAGGTGTGATATATCCAGGTAGCAGGCGCAACTCGAAACATTCACCTACAGTAAAATGTGCGCAATTCGGACTTTTTGAGCTCTAAAACTCAGGTAGCGGGCGCAACTCGGATACGTCCTACCACATCTTCACACCATCGTCAAAAACTCACTATTGTCATCAAACGAGTATTAAATCAGAATACAAGCTATATCACCTACATTTTTGAACTCAACGGATATGGCTGTGGTCAAAGGCTAGGTGACAGGTTGTGATGACTTAATATGTGCTTTTCATAGTATTTCCACTCTACCAAATTTATTTTCTTTGTACAAAATAGCACTTAAAAATGTAATTGGAAAGTAAGGATTAGAAATACAGCAAAAGTATTGGCTCAAGTTTATAAATAAGACCTGGTATTTTTAATCTGGGATATGCCGAATAATTTGAGTTTAGTACTCGTTAAAAAAAATTATTGCCAAAAATATAAACAGTTTTTGTGTACAAATTTCGTGAAACCACTTTTAGCTTTAAATTTTTCTGGCTCAGTTATGCTTAGTATGAATTGAAGATACACCAAAATGTCTTTAAAACAAATTTTTAGTCAAAACATAATCCAAAAATTCAATGTTCAAAAATTTTAAATCATCTAAAGATCGAGACATTTTTTGTATTTTTTTTTTTAACAAATTGATTTTATGTGCCATATGTTACGGACACATAATGTAATTAAATTTCCAGGCTGAGTTTTGCTTTCCTGCAGGAGTTTGGAAATGAAAACGATGAAATTTTCTTCACGTCTAAATTTTAATAATTTTTGAGGTTCGGAGATATGTTTTAATGAATAGTCACATCACACTGATTTTTCTTTTAGATTTTTTTAGCTTCATCGATTAATTTTTACTATCTTGTTCATAGTGTGTTTGAATTGATTTTTAACGCATGTGTCGATAAACAGTAACCTGCTGCCTATATGAAACTTTTTTATGACTAAGACCAAAATTGTTTGTATTAAAATGTGGACGTGATAAGAATATTTGTTTATATTTTTCGAGCAACAGCATTATTACAGGAAGCTCTTAATTTATTGTGAACTTGTTGATTTATTCAAGAAAATTTAAATTTAATTGAAAAAAATTAAGTTATCCGTTGACTTAGATTGTGATTCGCAACTAAATAAGTCAGTCCACTTTAAAACGGTTGATAATATTGTGACATTAAAATCAATTATTGCACAATTTTAAATGTGATGATAACGCACCTCTGAGAAATCTATAAAACTCTAAAAGCACAATCTACCTGGAATGATAAAAGCAAAATAAAAAAGAATCACTACGAACAAGCCTCTATTTCGTTGCCCTGAATTTTTTCACACATTTGCTTACGCGTATGAAGTTTACCTAAATACTTGTTGTCTGTGTACCATATGTGTATATATTATCACATCTTTCGTATGTCAAAGGAATGCACAAGGTTAAGTAAACTTTAAAAGCCTTTTTTTTGTTTGCTATAATTAGGTGTGTTAATATCTCAGTCTTAAAAAATTACAAACAGATATGAGTTGTCATATTTTATAATCGTTTGGATCATCATTTTTTTTACTTTTCCGTCGCTATTAAAGCATCACTTTTCATTTATCACGAGATTTATTTCCAATTAACGATATCTTTTCTGGCAGCTTTTCGGGGTCACATGTTTCTCTGATACAATTTCCAACGATGAGTCGACGAAAAAACTTGATTAATTACAACAGTGTGCTATTCATGCAGTATAGATTAAATTGATTGCCGCAACTTTCGCCATCTACGATAAAATCGTTTAGATAGGATAGTTGTTTTGACTAATAAGACTTAGTATAGCCACACCGTTGATCTATATCTTTCTATTACAGTAGAAAATTGGTGGGTTTAATATAGTGTGGAAATTGATTATGGAATGTCGGTGACAATATGAAGCTTAAAAATATTTTATAGAAATGGTCAGACAAGTCAATTAGGTTTTTTCTGCGTCTTGGGAAGTAGAGTTGTTTGTGACGACTATAACATTTTTGAATAACAAAATCACATATGATTTTTTGATGATAAGAGATCTTTTTACATACTCAAATAGACAAAAGTTCTGAAGCGCAAAAATTCTTATATATGGGGTGTTTTAACTCAGTTATGTTCATACACATCATAAATAAATTACGCCACGCTCTTACGCATACTTTTCCTTGTGTCCATGAACTTTCTTTTGCGCCCAAGATCATAATAATTGCACTGTCCCACGTTTTTGTAAACCATTCTCTTTTCGTGAGGTATTTATTTTGTTTTCCTTTATTATTTTTATGGTTCTGTGTTCGCTGATATCTATAAAGCTTCCAGCCAAATCTTCTGTTATTTTTTGGTTTGCATTTTGAATCTTCAATGCTCTAAGTAATTATTTTATTTCATAACCCTTTTCCTCTTAGAGCACTTACGATTCATATAGACACCATTTTTTGGAATGCTGTTTTAAGTCATGTAATGAGTTTATAAAATCGTTGATCAAAATTGTAAACAGGACAAGATTCACAACTCCAACTTATCTTTGACACTTGTTTGTTCTAAATGTTTTTATTGCACAGTTAGTTTCATAGACTTTTAATTGCTGTAATTAACCTGTAGACCCTTCGCAGTAATTTTGTCCTTTCACTGCAAACATGATTTCTGCAGCTTTCAGTCAAAACACTTATTATAACAAAGATTTATGAAAGAAAATCATCTTACCTGTTCAGGAAAAATTGATGTTTTGAAGCAAAAAACGCATTTTGGAAATGTTTTCACGAATAAGTATTACTTTATATACCCCAAAGTGTAAATAAATGAAAAATTATTAAAAATACGATGATTAAATGGATGCTCAATGGTAAATTGTTAGAAATACAAAGAAATATCGTTGGAACAAACAAAACTAGGAACAATAATTAACTTGTTCTAGTATTTTCTTTAGTCGGTTTTAAAATTAGGTCAATTTATTCTATAATCAGTTTCCACATTGTGATGGTTTGTCGAAATGGGTTTCCTAAACCTATAGACAGATCGTTCTGAAAAGATCCAATTTTTATTGTTATGTATAAATTAGAAGCAAATGTGTAAAAGTGAAAATAGGTTGAAATTCCTTTGCGGAACCGAACCGCTTTTCCAAACGAAACTTGTTGAAGCTCCATTCACCTTGAGCAAATGGGGAAAGTCATAACAGCTGCAAAATTTCCCATGTGAAAACTAGCTGTCCGTGAATTTATTGACTTCCATAAATAAGCTCTCAAGATATAACTCTTGACAAATTACCGTATCCTACCCGCATCACCCGTGCCGATACGGTCGCTTTATCATAGATCCTGCAACGAAAAGTCCCCACGTTGTCAACAGGAACGAAACTATTCGACCCATACATTTTACTGAAAATGTCAGCTGAGTCACTCTGAAACGAGGGCGAACTTTTCATGTTGTCACGAGCCTCTTTCAGAGAACACGTAATCGGATTTACTGCTCTGGAAATCTCACTCCTTAAGTGAAACACTCGACGTATTCGTGTTTCTGTCGTAACGTGCGACATGTACGCGTTGCTTTATGAAGGAATTTGCCACTTTTTGTTTGGGGGGTAATTACAAGGAACTGCCACTGCATGCCGGTTTAATTATACCTGAAAATGTGTACCAGAAGTCGTTATCGCATTTTTACGTTCTTCCTTTTTTGCTCGCTCAGATCTGATGACCCAAGTGCTGAAAACGTAGGCCATAAGTGGACTTTGAGCGCGCTATTAAGGCATTTGAAGGCAGAGGGAAAGAATACGGCTTTGTTGATGTCGCAGGTCGAAGATCTTGTTATCAAAGCGATTTTAGCTTCAGCGAATTCGGTTATTTCTGCCTGTAAAATGTTCGTGCCTAACCCTTGTAATTGTTTCGGTAAGTATTGCAGAACGGCTGGTTCTCGTCAAAGTCAAATCGCAGAATTCAATTTTGATTTTAAATGAATGTTTCGTTTTATTTAAAGTTTGTTCACTGTCGAAGTAAACGTGAACATACCGATTTTGGATGTGCTAAAACACCGAGTAAAACTTTCAAGCAGTTTTAGCCACTCTCCTACAATTTTTTAAATTATTTTTTATTTGTTTTAACGTTTATTTATTGTAATCACAATTTGCTTCAAATATAAAAAAAACACATTTAATTTTAAGAATTTAGAAGACTCCAGATTCCCGCTTCTTCCTGAGAATTTCATGGTACGAGTACATATATGTTTTTGTATAAACAAGTATTCATACAAAATAACTATCTTTCCCTGTTATTTGTTTTTTTTTACTGTTGGGAAAGATATTAATAATAATAATAATAAAATTTCGGTACTATAAGTAAAAAGCAGTTATTAATTAAAAAATACGCTGAACTGATAACCTTCAACAGACGACATTTCAAAATAATTCTTGTATATTAAAAATGAGTTATAAGTTTTCTAAGTATGTATAAGAATCAGTAAACATTGGGACACCTTTGACTACAATTGATATTGAATTAAAAATCATTTAAAATCAAAAAATAAAAAATCCTTATTTATATAACGTTCCCATGACTATTTCCTTGAAAAAAAAAATGCTTCCCACCGGATTTAAATTTCGGCCAACGACAAACAAATGATAGCAATTATTAGTAAAACACAAATTCGGTTTTAATTTCATACTTGAAGGAAATGAACCATTATTAAACGTGTAATGGCCTTGGTGATGTTCTCTATCTCCACTCAGATAAATTTTTGGGAAGATGTCAGGTTAATTTTTTTCACTTTTGCTTTCATTGGACCTATTTTTTATTCATAGCGAATTAACAGTAGGAAAAAGTCCTTTCTGTGTTGACAGTTTTTTTGCTTCCTTTCAATAGTTTAAAACGCATAAAATGTTTATAAGTCTAACTGGACATTTCTACCAGTTAGTCAGTTTTTGAAGTAGTCGTCTTTTTTCCGTTAAGCGGCTACTTCTTCCTTGTGCTATTTTGGAAAATGAGTGTTGCAGCTTATTCAAGCCGTTGGATTTCTGGGGTTGTCACACTCTCCCTAAAAATAGCTGAGAAGGCACGCTCCACACCCCGCCATGTAGCAACACAATGAAAATTGTTAGAAGGAATGTTAAAAATTAAAATATTTTCGTTTTTAGAAAATTTATTTTTGCGTGTTTGCAAAAATACTTTTTTCAGGAATTAGTCGATAGTCTCGTGTGTCTCAAATAAAAGAATTGTTCAAAATTAGAAGTCCAGTAAACAGCTCTAAAATAAAAAAAGTATTTTTTTCTTGTCACATTCACCTTGCATTAAATTTTTGTTATAAATAGTTAACTGCAGCGCTTTTTACTGGTCTTTGAAAAATAGAAATGTATGTGAAACATTAAAATAATCATCAAAACAGAGCTTTACGGGTTCGACATCTTGATCGATTCAAACCTGAAGCCTTGGCTTTTGGAAGTCAATCTGTCTCCGTCTTTGGGTTGCGACAGCCCCTTGGACGTGCGATTAAAATCCGCAATGTTAGCCGACCTGCTCACCCTTGTTGGACTTCCTGCCGTCGATCCCGTTTTGAGACCATCGACAAATAGTTTGACTTCTGCATCGATAAAAAGCAACAGCACCAAGCTCAAGCTCGGACACGTAAATTTACCCTGTCGAAAATCCAAACGTTGTTATAGTTGATTTATTGCAGTGCAGAAGGGTTCATTCGGCCGATGGCCTGAGCAGTACTTTACCGAGGAAGAGTTCTTCTGTTAATGGAGATCGCTTGTCTTCGAGTTTTTTGAATTTGTCTCCTGAGGAGACGAGAGTGCTTAAGATGGCAAAAGGGCAGTTTGAGAGGAGGGGCGGGTTTGTGAGGATATTTCCGGCGGTGGATAGCTGGACGAAATACACGCAGTATTTAGGTGAGTTTTTTGATCAATTTAATGTTTTTTTTTTTTTTACAAAAAATATATTCCTAAATGGTAGTTTTAGTTGTAAGAGTTTTGGAGAAATCGCTGTTAATTCTTTCATGGCGCGCATTTTTCCTTTTCTAATGAAGTTAATGAGTGGTATAGAAAAACATACTTGTGCAATATATATATCATCAGTATTAGATATATCGCCTTTGGTTTTTCCGGAAATGGCATAATCTTTTTCTTTTCAAATATTTTGATGTTATCGTTGTATTGTATAGCACCGGTTTAGAGTTTGACCATGAAAGAATGACATGTTGAGTCATCACAAGCTACGCACAAAAATAGGTGGGGCAAGCCGCCAGTGGCGTAGATATATTTTGTTGGGTAAGGATCTTGGTGTACGCGACAGAGAAAACGATAGCAGAAATCAGATTTATCTCTTTCGACAGATTTGCTAATTTCTAAATCTAGATTAAAAAAAGTTAAAAGATATATAAAATGTTTATAAGTCTAACTGGACTTATAAACATTTGACTTGGAGAAAATATAAATGTATAATTCTTATTTAGGCTTTGAAAAGAAGTGATTTTTAAAACTTGCAAAACTTATAAAATAAATAGTGAAACAAAAAAAAAATCATTTAGCGCTGGTGAAACACAGATGAAATACAAAACGAAATGCGGCACACGGCAATGAGAGACTGGCTCTCCTTCTTTTTGAAAATGGACTCGCCCGGTCTCACTTTCGTTCTTTGCGCAGTTTTATCGGTGTGCTATTCTTACAGCGGCCAAAGTTAAAAACATTTTTAAATTACGGCGTCCCTGTTTACCACTTCCACTATAATATTCTAAAAATTTTAAAACATAAAGTTTAAAATTTGGTACAATTAATTTATATATTAAATCGTTTGCATCGTATCTACGCTAGTTTTTCTGCAAGTGATATCATTTCTTATCAGTAATTTTAAGCTTGTGTCGTTCCTTTTCTTTTTTGTGAGACTTGAAAGTCATATCCAATTTTTCTTGGTTTACAGTTTAAAAAATAGATAAAAGTTAACGAAACATCAATAGTCCGCTTCCATCCACGTGTCATATTGAAATAATTTTTATATGTTACTCTTACAATAGGATCTTGACCAGGCAGCGGATTTACTGTGTCCATTGGGACGATAAAATTTTAAATATGACAAAAAAATAATCACAAATATGAATAGTCATTCGATAGTTAGAGGAATAGTTTGTTTTTTCACATGAACCAGGCGTAGAAAATTTTATTGGAATGCTTTCACAAGTTCGATAGACATGAGGTAAAACAAACTTCGAAGCTTTTTCTTAAAAATAGCGTTTCTACGCCCGTTGAAGTGTAAAAAGTACTATAACTCTTATACCAACTTCAAAGAAAATTGCATTTTGGTAAGTTGCATGAGGAAGTCGAGATGTTTCTCAAAGTTTTAAAATTGTTTACAGCTCAAACTATTGAATGGTGAGATTCTCGTGTATAATTTTATTACTTAAAAAGTGATTTAACGATGTACATGGAATTGGTATAGTGCGTGCATTTTATTTTTGTGCATATTTTCTTTGTTTTGTATTTTTTTCATATATGTGAAAATTGAATATTTTATCATTATTTGCATTATAGTCAATACATTTTTTTTTTGTTATATGTATGTACATATATGTAAAAATATAGCTATGATTTTCGATAGTAACGAGAAGTGCAAATAGACTAACCTTAAAAAAAATAGACATGCATAGTATTAGCAAGGGTGAAGAAATGTCGTTTCTCGTAAATTCCTCAAGAGTAAAATCGTCACGAACTGACAAGCTCATATTCAAATATTGCGTGATATCTTGAAATAAATATTGTTGAACAGAATCAACTAGATATTTTAGGAAGTTTATAATATAAAGAAGAGATGTTCACTTCTGGCGAGTTTGTTGACATTTTTACGACGACTTTTACAGAAACCGAGACGAATAAAAAACGCCAATGTGAAATTCTACATTTTTAGCGCCCGATAGATATTTTGCCTTAGTTATTTGTTCGATGGTAGCAAATAATATAACAATTTTATCAAATTAATATTTAGCTTAGTCTAAAAACAACCGCTGCGCATTCTCCTTTTACAATTTATAGATTTTTTCATTACAACTACTAGTAATTTGGATCGGATTAGTAGATCACTGTTTGACCTCCTTTTGTATAATTTTAGATCCTGCAACCGGAATTCCAATTACCGGTAATAATAATACATTCAACAGCTATAACCTCTCTGGAGCCCATAATTACAACTTACTCCTTTACACTCACTTCTTTCCGGACGTTCCTGTCCATGTTAAACCCCACGACAGGACGAACTTCAAGTTCCACTCTTTGGACAGAAAAAGAGATTTGTCTTTAGATTCAGGTATTTGTCGAAAAACACAAATTTAAACCTCAAAATAAACCGAAATTTTAAAGGCACCACTCTGGCTCGACAAGATAGATACGAAAGAATGTTAAGCCAAGGCCACAGGTCGGCGTTAATTCCCAAAAAGATCCCAAAAGAGAGTCGCGGAGTCGAGTTGAGAAAACAAATACTGGAGATGTTGAGAAACGGGAAAAAAATGACGTAATAATTATTAATTTGTCATTAATTATTATTAATGACAAATTTCAGACAATGCGAAACCCGACGAACCTTTAGCCACTATTTGGGTTGCGTATTGAGGCGCATTTCGGCAGGACCTGACCAGGAGGACCAAATGGAAATCGTCTTGAAATTTTTACAAAAAGCGTCGAGTTACCTGAGAACCCCCTATACCGTGAAGGTGGTATGTGGCTCCACCCTGTGCAAAGAAAAATAATAACCCGATTTTAGGCTCCTAGTCAGAATCTGGATAATAAAGATAGAGCGGCTGTGGTGGCGAAACAGTTAAACGATTTTTTGTATCTGTACAACAGGGAAACTGATTTATTCGTGGACAAGACAGAAAAACCTAGTCAAATTCCTTCCAAGTTGTACGCGGAATTTTTGGAGAATGCCAGGTAGCGTTACCGTAAAAATACTTTTTGGTTGCCGCCGCGTAATGTGATGTGGAAATGGAGAATATGAAAATTATTTCAAATTGTGTACTATTTGTTTGTTTTAGGGAGTGCGATTTGGAGGAGATTTTGATCCATCAAACTACTCAGACCGTGCCAACTCACGGGGGCAAGACGGGATTTCAAGGAGTGCTCAAGTGCATCCCGAACGTCCCGAAACAGTACGGATTGAAGCCCCCTTTTCACAAGACATCGGTTAAAAGCAAGGGCGTTAAAGTTTCGTCCTTGTCTTGATTGTTTTTACAAATTAAGAATTACGACTTAAGCTTCATATTTGTCCGTTGTGTAACTTTGTGAGAATACAAGTATTTATTTATTGGTTAAGCGTTACAGACTTTCTTTTTAGGTTGTTATGTTGACTTATTTATTTTTGTAGTTACGGTTGTGGTTATCATCCTGTTGTTTTATTTGATTTTTTGATACTCTATTTTTGTATGCCAAAGTTCGAAAGTTTCCACGGTTCATTCCAGACCTGCCATATTTCTTAGTCAAGAGTTAGTATTATTAAACAGAGTCAAGGACGTTGTATTAATATAATTAATATCATGTCCTTGAGCGGAGTACAATTCACGAAATTTACGTATCATATTACTGTTTGTCAGTGTTTTAAGAATTGTGATTATGCGTCAACGAATCTTAACAATTCGAGGTGATACTAATGTACTTGAATTTTGTGCTTAGGTCGATGTTTCGATTTTTGTTGTTTGTTTTATACAGGGTGAGTCATCAAGCGCGGTCCTCGATATCTCTTTAATTTATCAGAGATGGAAAAAAGTCAAAGAACGTTGTTGGTTCTTTGACTGTACTCTAAAACTATTTTTAAATACGCAGACCGTCCTGTTTTTAAGACGTGTTTTTTTATGTGAGCAGAACATTCAATATAGTTAAAAATAATTTTAGAGTATTGTCCTCCAAGAACCATACAAATTTGGTCTGACTTTTTCTAAATTTCTAATAATGAATGAGATGCCGAGGAACTCACTTTTTGACTCGCCCTGTAAATTGATGCTTTTATTGGACAATTTCACGTTTGAATTAACGAAATTGGACCTGACGTATTTTTTGATATTGCTGCCAAAACGAATGCATATAAATATTTTTAATACGTAAATGTGAAACGAATCAAGCTTCACTTTGTATTTTTAAAATGATAGTGTGAAGTAGTACCTTTAGTATCTTTTTACACACTTCTTGTGATATGAAGGAAAATGCTTTGCTATTTTCTATACTTGTTACACTGCTATTGAATGCATTTTGACAGCTAGTAGCTTAGTCACTTTTAGTTACTTTTAGATGTGATATTTATTTACACTTTACAATTGTTACTTGGAGTTCGTGAAGGTGTTCGTACTTAGCTGGATTTGCTCAAATTTGCTAAATTTCTGATTGAGATTTTATTGTTATCACAAAGCATTTGATGGGCAACGTTTTCTAAACAATCGAAAGTTACATTACATCATGTTTGTTTAGTTAGGAGATTCTCTAGAATAGTGATAATTTTGTAAAGTGACAAATCTGTACACAGTCTAAGTTTTTATACTTTGTGCACGGCAAATTGTTAATGTGGGTGAGTGTATCGCAAAATAAATTGGCACAAATAATTCTGATCAAAGCTTTTTAATTTCCACGGCTTTAATAATGATAATTTTATTTACTGTTGACACCTAAGATTTTCATGGCTGCATGGGGGTTGAGTAAAATTAGTTCGTGCTAGAGTCAAATGACCGTTCTTTCTATTACAAAAAAAAAAAAAAAAAACGAATTTGGTGCAGTTGTGAGTAAGATAGGCTTGTATTAGATACCTAGAGTGGTCAAGCAATCCCCCGTGCGTGTACCCCTTAAAATGATTACTTTTCGGGAAGTGTCAACATAATAATCGGCAGGCGAAGACGGTATATTGCCGCAGAAAGACTCCACGTGTACCGTCAGGTGTCTAGAGGTATTATACTCGGGGAACAGTTTTTCGCAAAGAACACCAAAAACTTTTCGTAAATACTAATCAAGCATTACTGGGAAATGGCTAAAAATGACATTTTTAGTCCACTAATATAAATAATGTGCATGATATCGACGCGAAATTTTCCGCTGAACGAAGCTCAGTTGATGCGTCTAGAGTTTGTACATGATGGTACATGCTCATTTTTTAGTCTATAATAAAAAAAAAACCTCGCCAAAAATTTAGAATAAGTCGTAACCGTCAACACTATAATGTGTTTTATTTTCTTACATTCGAATTATTTTCTCACAATTTGATTTTGAACAATTATCCTCCAATTATTATTGCTTTGATTTTAATCGCGTGGATTGTATGCCTTGGGTCTCTTGGACATGTGCTTTGTTTTCGGTGATGTATGAATTCTCTTGGTCTGTGATGTAATGTTGATGAACTCATTTTAATTTAGCTATCAAATTGCATAACTTAAATTAGTGCATAATTTAACGTCATATAAATTCTTGTTTGCAATCTATGTTTTACAATGTGGCGTAACGAAGATAAATTTGCTTTGCAGTTTCAGTAATTCATTTAATCTTTAAGACTTTCAGATTAGGGCAGTCTTCTGTGCAATATCGACCTAGACAAGTTTCTGAACTGTTCTCAACTTAGCACTTCTTTTACCAACAATCACAAAATAAACAAGTTGAAGGTCATCGGTCAATGGCAGCAATGTTAGGAGGGCGGATTTTAGCGCAAGTTAGACAACCATTTTTTATTCTATTCCGACTGGGGTACCTACTTTTCCGTGGCATGAGCAGGTCTTCAGGCCTGGCAGTCCGTGAGGCAAGTGAATGATGCGGTCAGTTAGGTAATAGCCCTTGCACCGCGAGGCTGAGTATGTGGTGTAGCTCGTGAATCTCTCAACACAGTGTAGTACTGCACACTGGAGACAGTGTTGCCAACTGCAGGGAATTTTCCCTTTTAAGGGAATTTTAGGATAAGAAAGGGAAAAAGGGAATTTTTTGACAAAAGTCGGCAATTTTGGGGAATTTTTAGAAGCATTCTTAAGTACGCTGACAACGCAGCAAAGAAAATGTGAAAATTGATAAATCATTATTTTTTCAGCTTAGAAAAGAGCAACATAGTTTGGTAGGTCTTGGTTGTGTGTTGAGGTCAAGAGTAGACAAAATGTACTAAATGTAAAACGTAGGTCAACTTGTCATTGACAAGACCAAAAAAAGAAACAGGATTGGGGAGAGTTCTTTAAACGCTGTTGCTGTTTTTAGGAGCTTTTTACAGGCAACAGAACTGGATGTTGTTAAGTATCCAATAACACAAGGCCATCCAGTTACATAATGTTGCAATGTATTCATTTAAACACTGATAAAGAGGCTGGATTTTTGTCCTTTATTTGTACTGTAATTATAGAACTATATTTTTGTTACTTTGTCTTGTCAATTTTGAAATTATAGTGTTTGTTTACTATATTATTATTATTAAAAGAAGTTAAAAAGAAAGGAGCGTTGTTTTTGGGGAGGAAATTAGTAGATTAAGTGTTTTCTTGATCCGAGAGAAATTTTATCAATTTGTAATGGTAGTAATAGGTAGGTAATATCCGTTCGCAAAACTCCCGCACTGTCAGAATGACATTCTGTTGGTATGAGAAATAATCCCCTAAAAGATTTTTAAGTTTATATGATTACCGCCTTGAATTTCAAATTTTCAAAATTAATGAATGAAAAATCAAATGTTTATTAACTATTTTACCTTTTTGAGTTGCTGAAGTGTTCAATGTGTTTAAAGAACTTGTCAGTAATTCAAACAAATTGTAGCACCAGAAGCGTAGAAGTGGACAGTTATTTTTAGTTACTAATTTGTCACTAGATTGCAATTTTGCAACATATTGTACAGGTTTTTCGCATCTTACCACTGAGTACACTCAGGTCATTTTTTCCAAATCTGACACTGACAGTGCGGGAGTTTCGCGAACGGATATTACCTATATACAAAAGAGAATTTTGAGGCTGAAAAGGGAATTTTTATCGTCCATGTAGGGAATTCGTCATTACAAAGGTTGGCAACACTGACTGGAGAGATCGATCGCCTTGATCGGAGCCATCGATCCCCCTAACCGTGATCTATAATTTGGCCCTCGATACTTTGGTTTTTGATTCATACTTAAATTTGCCGGCATCATTTGAGTATTTTAATTTAGGGTTACTTTCCTAACCTTGGGGTTCACCACTTTGCATTTCGCCAAAAAAGAAAAGCAACTGTTACCGGGCCAACATTTGGAGGCCTGATTAGTGCGATCATTAGGTTAAGGAATTAGATAAGTTGTTTTATTCAAATAATATTTAAGCATGTCCGAGATCCGCGGCACCGCGGTCCGAGATCCGCGGCACTGCGGTCCGCTAATCGGAGCGCGGCTGCGACAGCAGCCGCATATAAAGATACGTAAAATTAGAGCAATAGGCAGTTGAGTCGTGGGTTTCAAGGAAGTCTGTTGTCGTCAGTGCTCGCCCCGGCGGCTAAACGGCCAGAGAACCCCAATAAACCGTACCTTCTTCTTTCATCGAGGCTTTTATTCACGAAAAACCCCGTGCTCAGTTTTTTGCCGTAGCAAACAAAGCACCCACACCGGTTCTTTTCAGAACCCCATCACCCAAGGGCACTCCGACACCCTGGAACAAAGTCGGCGTACCGACGCGGGTAAAGACCGGACGCTTCCCCGCTGGAACCGCGAGGTCGCGACGACCCGGTCCCGTAACACAACGTAGGTATACATTTTGAATTTTTCGCGGGTTTTGAATTGTATTTACATATCTAATTTTGGCGAGATGTTTGAGTTGTTAGTGTTATTACACTACAGCTGCTGTGTTAATTTTTTGAAACGACAAGAAAATTAAATAAAATAATGTATGTCAACACACAATGAATGGTAAAAAGGGTTCGTCGAATTTACATCATCGTTAACTTGTACGTTTTACAGCGGCGTAAATAGCACCCCCGCAGACCTCGCAATGCGGAGGGGCGCAGACCGTAATATAACCAGGGGCGGCTGGTGCCGGGGGGCACAAGAGCACGTGCTCCCCCCCAAAATTACAACGTCTACAAACACACTGAGCTAGCTACGCCACTGACTTTTTAGAAACTATCCGAATTGTTTAACTGACATTTTCAAAGACACAAAGACGAAAGACATTTTGGTTCAACGGATGCATCATTTACTTTTTTTGGAAACCTCAGATTTCAAGACAGTAATGATTTAATTAAAGTTATACTGGATTTATCAATATGAGGTCACCTTAGAACTGGTTTGCCGCATATCCAGATCGCGTCCGAGGGATTTTCGCCTCTACTGTTTAGTGCAGATTTGCCGCATGTCGCACTTGGGCGAAGCGAAACATAGTTTAGATTCAGTGCTGATTTGCCGCATGTCCAAGCAGAAATCGATACAGTACCGTTATCCGTTTTTACGTACTTCCTTGCTGTTTTGCTTTTCAGCGTTAGGTTTGGGGTTGGGAAAGAAATCGTATTCAACTTCACGCGCAGAACAATAAGAATAATGTGAAATAAATAAAAAAGAGACTTAACAATTTTGATGAATCTGAAATTAAAAAAAAACAACTGTAATTTGTGCAACTCTTTTTCGGTTGTTATAGATGTTACAAATATTTTCAAATTATTAGATTCGAAATTTTACAAATTTAAATTTCAAATAGATTTGTTGTTCGATAAACAAATAATTTAATTTTTTACTAAACAGTAACATTTTTCTTTAATTTTTTCTCGGGAATGATTGAACTTATTTTCTCTAAAGTTTTAGTGAACAAGATTTATAACGCTGCATACCAGTAAAAGAGTTCACAATTTTTTGTAGTATTCTTATTTGTAGAAACGATATTTCTACATCAATAATCACAAATAATAGATACATTTTTAATTTTTTAAATTAAAATGTTGTAAAAGTAATATGAAAATTAAAATTTCGAAGCAAAATCTGTTTAGGTGGATTTTGCTTCGAAATTTATTACTGGAACGTTTACAAAAATCAGCTTTTGACATAAAATGCTTGCAAATTTGAAACAGAATTGGAATGTTTCTTGACAATCATGCCTAATACATTTTTGACTTGTACCTTTTAAAAAGAATTATTTCCGAATTTATAGCTATTTACAATTTACGACTTACTTCAAGAATAAATTCCGTATTAGAATTTTACCTATAACTAAATAGATGTATGTTGTTAACTTATATAAGGTACCTTACATCGAAACGGGTAATTTGTTTTTTTAATATGACATTGCCTTTCTTTATCATTCTATTTGTCTAACAATTATTGTTGTGCAATTATACGCGTGTAAATAAAAATAACTTTACAATAACTTATTTATGGGTAATTTTTTTTACCAATTAATTTAAGTGGATGGTTATATGTAATGGTAATAATAGCCGCATAAAATTGACTCACTGTTTAGGTATACCAGATATCAAAAGCTATTAAATCCAAATGTTATTGTTTATTTTTTTTATGTCTCGAGCGTAAGCTAAGGAAGTATTGTAATCAAGTTCATCGGGCGACTGGCTACTTTTATGGCTTCTCAACGTTTCATGACTCCTATAATACAAAAACATAGGTCTCTCGTTTCCGGTTGATAAAACGCTGTTTGTAA